CCTGGGGGAGTGGGCAGCACGGGGGGAAGGCTGGGGGAGCAGGCAGGGAATGGGGCCTGGCAGGGGTGCCCTCATGGCCCCCTCCCTACTCCTCCAGCCCCTCCTCCCTTGCACCCTACTTACCAGCTCCGGGTCCAGCTCCAGCTCCCTGCTGCAGCGGGCGGGGACTACCTGAATTGTCGGAGCTCTCCAAATCTTTTCTGAATTGATTCGGAGCACTTCAAATTGATTCAAACCTTTTAATTAGTAATTAGTCCCCGATTTGATTCAGATTCGGAGATTCGGCCACCGAATTGGGCCAGATCTCCTCTGAAACGAATCAGCACCCAAAGCTTTGCACAGCCGTATTAGGGACCACATCTTACTGATACAATGTTGGAAAATATAAAAAGATGACTTACATGCAATACTGCTGTGGTATGCCACAATGGGACCCGTACCGAGAGAGAAACCTATTCTCAAGATCAATGGTGGTTTCACCAACTTTTTCATCACGAGTCAACATATCATAGTCGTAGACTGAAATTTTCAGATCCTTTTCTTGAGGCAAGAAGCAACTGAGTTCATACATTCTAAAAGAACAAGTCCTCAGTTAACATTAATGTTTGTAAAAGTTAATTCCTCAGAAACAGTTATTTGTAAGAAATATATAGATACTCTCCAAACTAATGCTGTTATGGGTTGTACCTGCACACATTTACAGGGTTTTTTTAGGACCAATGTGAATTTTTTAGGACTAATGTACTGCCTGAATCAGGAGCATATTGTCAGATGTACAATGATTATTGTATTTGTACAGTAAATTGGACATGTGTACAATGTTCAACAAATAATTGTGAAAGTGGCCAAAATGCCATTTCAGGACCTGAAGAATGCTTGCATTTGGAAAAAAAAATCCCTCTTTGTACAACTTGGAGTTCTATGTTATACAAATGTCAACATTTAGCAGGTCCTTCCAAGAATAAAATACACTGTTTTCATAACACACACTTTTTGGGAGGCTGGAGAAAGCTGTATAGAATTATAATAAAGATTATAAAGAAAATTCACAAGAGATGTAGATGTCAATTAGCAAGTCACAATCACTTCTATATACTTCTATATACTTCTATATACAGTCTCAGAAACTCAAAATATGCATATGTAAGTGCCTAAAATCAGGAGTCATATCCATAAAGCATAAAGCCCGAAGACAATAACTTCTTATATAACAGAGGCCGCTGGACTTCCCTAAATTAACTATTTGAACTACAGCATCTTTCAGAAAAACATTTGAACTTAATTTAAAATCTCCAGTGATGGAGCGTCCATTACAACCTTTGGTCAGTTGGTGCAATAATTATTTAACCTCAATTTAAAAACTGGCATTTCATTTCTAGTCCAAATTTGTTTAGCATCAACTTCCACATTTGGATCTTGTATCTTTGTCTACTAAACTGAAGAGGCTATCACCAAAGTTTGGCTCCTCATGTTATGTACAGACAGAGATCCAGTTGCCCATTATCTTTGCCACTAATAAGCCAAACAGAGAGGCTGGAGTCTTTTTTCATAAGGCATGTTTTCCAGATCTTTAATTATTCTCATGGCTTGCTAGCTCCTTTGCAGTTTATCAAAATCATTCTTTAACTGTGGACATTAGAATTGGACATCATATTTTCCAGGGCACTGTTCATCACTGCATATTTTGGGCATGGTTTCTAAGACTAAGTACAGACAGTCAAAAAGCCAGAGGCTGAATCGATTAAATCTTCACAGGTAAGTCTAAAATGCATAGATTAAACCAATAAGCCAGTGAACACATTCACTTTTGATTCCAGAAATGCAGCCACATGCCTGCAGTGGACCAGAGCCAGAGCATGTCTCCCTGCTGGCTGGAGCAGACAGCTTGGGCCCTGTGAGGGGGGAAGGGTTGCGGTGGAGGTGCAAAGCATCCTGGGGTGCTGGGGGACTGGAGTTAACTTGAATCTGGAGGGGATCTAGGACAGAAGTTCAATAATCTAGTTTAACCTAAATGAGTTAAGTCTGATACTACACCCATCCATGTTTATCTTAAACCACTTTGGCCATTCTGACAGCAATTTATATACACTGAACTTCTGTTGTGTTACAGATGTGAATCGGTTTCTGATCACTTATACCAGTTTATGTGTAATTTCTGTCCCCAGCCTTAGACTATAAAGTGTTTCACCATACATGTAAAGTGTGCTTTGCTAATTTACATCTATATCTCTTGTGAATTTTCTGTATATTCTTTATTATAATTGTATACAAGGATGGTGGACTCTATGTTTGGGAGTATGTCTTCCAGTCTTTCTTTAACCGCGGACTAGAACTAGACACAGTGCCAAATATGAAGGTGACATAACCTTTCTATTCCTACTTGATGTTTCCCTGTCTCTGTATCTAAAAACAGATAGATATATACTTGTCTCTATCTCCAAAGACAGCACTAGCTTTCAGGTCACAGGATCATGGTATGAGCTCATGTTCAGTTGATTATCTGGCACGGTTCCCAGAGCATCTTTCGGAACCACAGCTCCCAGGCAGAGAGTCCATCATCCTTGCTTCCTAAAAATAACTTTGTATTTACCTATATTATTACTGTTTGACCACACCCAGCTTACAAAGCGATACAGGTTGCTCTGTACCAGTGATCTGCTTTCTAAATTCACAGAGATGCTGGGCACATTATGATTCCATATGTTTCAAAGATAGAGAGGAAAGAGATCATCGCTTTATTACAGCGTTTTGCCGCTTTATACAACTTAGTCCAGCACACAATTGTGAATATGTTACAGATTTTAAAATACAGGTACTCCTCACTTAACGACCTACCTGTTTAACGACCGTAAGTACGAGGACTTTGGTCGTGGAAACAGCAGCGCGGTGTCTCAGGCCAAGGCACGCAGTATCAAGGGACGGCTCCTCGCTTATCGACCAATTTGCTTAACGACCTAGTGGCAGGAACGGAACTTGGTCGTTAAGTGAGGAGTGCCTGTACACATAACATTAGATGAGCAGAGTCTGCAGCTGCTGGTATACAGTTAACATGATGATGATAATAACATGGGGGAAAACTATGAACAAATCTAGAACAGATAGAAAAGACTAGAAAAATTATTTACCTGCCAAAAATTGGGTTGAGAGTATTGGGTACATAATGATCTCTGTCTTCAATCACCTTTTTACCTAAGGATATTTTTATATAAGGATCACACTGTTTGGAAACAAGATAGGAAACAATACTGGTAAGTAATTTAACATGAATTTCATTGACTAACTTTGATTGACATATCATTCTTTTTAGTGTGACAATTTATCATGATGTCACTACTTTTTTAAGTAAAGATCATAAAAGTAAAAATTCTCACCAGCCCATTGTTGTCCTGGGGTTGGAGATCCAAGGCTCTAACAATGTAAATTCGTACAATACATTCCTGAGGTCCACTGTCTGGTAACTCACGGAACTGACGAGGAGGAGCTGGTATAGTAGGGTCATCTGGTAATGGGTAGATTTTAAAGGAGCCCTAAAAAGAATATGTGAAAGGACTGAACAAACTGAGACAGAAGGTACTCACTGCTAGATTTTTGTTCTCTCTTTTCTACCTAAAGTAGGTTCATATTACAAATGAGCATCAGAATCACAGATTGGCCTCTTAGAGTGAACTGGAATATTTACACTGACTTCACTGGGCTTTGGACCAAACACACCATGTACGTAGGCAAAGGTCCTCAGCTGTTTTAAACTAATGTAGCTCCTCCAGTTTCAACAGAGTTGTGCCACCAAGCTAAGATCTGGTTTAGCATATTTATGCTTGTTGGCTCATTCCAAAGGCTTATCTTTACATTTCCAGGTTTAAAATCTATGGACATAATCTTGAATAGAGTAAAAATGGAGCTCATCAGCCTCCCTGGATTCTGCTCCCTAAGAGCACTATACTGAAAGACTTTATAGGAAACATTTTGATTTCACTGAAGTCAGAGCATAACAAAGCTGTGGTTCTGCACAGGGGAGTGACACAGCAAGCTTTCAACTGCAGGGGTAATTTTGCACCTATCTGCATACCCCCTGAAAGGTGACACCCAGGACTGCTACCCTGGTTGCCCTTCTCAGTTATACTGCAGATTTAAGTCAATGGGAGTGTTGTTATTAATATCAGCAAGGGCAGGATTTCACCTTACATACCTTGCCTACACTAAAACAGTGTGTACAGCTCATGTAATTGGCCAAACTCTACTGACTTTAATGGAGCTGAACTGATTTATGCTAGTGGAGGAAACAGCAAAATCTTTTTTGACGGTAATTTAAACATTCTTTTCAATGGTACAGCAGAGTTTCATAGTTTCATAGTTGGTACGATCAGAAGGGGCCTGAGCAGATCATCAAGTCTGACCCTCTGCCATGGCAGGAAAGAGTACTGGGGTCAAATGACCCCGGGCAGGTGTTCATCCAGCCTCCTTTTAAAGACCCCCAGAGTAGGAGCCAGCACCACTTCTCTTGGAAGTTGGTTCCAGATCCTAGCCGCCCTGACAGTGAAGTGGCGCCTCCTGATATCTAGCCTGAATCTACCCTCTGCCAACTTGTGACCATTATTTCTTGTCACTCCTGGGAGTGCTCGGGGGAATGGGACTCCCCCAATGCCTGTTGATCCCTGCTGACTAGTTTGTAAATGGCCACTAGATCCCCCCTCAGCCTTCTCTTGTGGAGGCTGAACAGGTTCAAGTCCCTTAGTCTTCTCGTAGGGCCTGCCCTGCTGACCTCTGATCATGCGGGTGGCCCTCCTCTGGACCCTCTCCATGTTGTCCACATCCCTCCTGAAGTGCAGCACCCAGAACTGGACACAGTACTGGACACAGTATTCCAACTGCAGCCTGACCAGTGTCACATAGAGGGGGAGGATCACCTCCTTGGACCTGCTTGAGATGCATCTGTGGATGTATGACAAGGCACGGTTGTGGCCTTCCTGACCGCATCCCCACACTGTCGGCCCACGTTCATTTTGGCCTCAATAATGACTCCAAGATCCTTCTCTGCCTCTGCACTGACGAGAAGGGAGTTCCCCACCCTGTAGGTCTGCTGCTGGTTCTTCCTCCCCAGGTGCAGTACCCTGCACTTGTCAGTGCTGAAACCCATCCTGTTCTCATCCGCCCACCCCTGTAAACTGTCCAGGTCGAATTGCAGCCTATTCCTCCCTTGTGGCATGCCCATTCTCCCCACATCTTAGTCTCATCTGTGAATTTGAACAGGGTGCATTTTACCCATTTGTCCAAGTCACTGATGAAGATGTTGAACAGTGGTTAGCTGGGATTTCTATTTTTGGAGGGGGGGTATTATTTGAGCTGTTTATTTTTTAAACAGATTATTTGTATAACACACTAATAGGGCGAATTACTACACCAATAACCATTGAAATGTAATATCATATTCCTTGTGGTATGGATTTACAGAATCTTGTTTTCCAAATGAATCACCTATATCCCTATAGAAGTGAGAGATGTGCTGTGGTGCCTATAGGCGGAGGGAGAAAATATTATTGGGGAGGAAGGGCTGAGCACGTGTGTGCACCTGCTAAGGAGGTAAATCTGTGGAGGGGAAGGAGTGGGGAGAGAAAGAAGAGGTGGAAGGAGGGCAGATCGAGGTCCCCGTAGTGAGGGAGGGAGTGGGGCAGAGGCAGGGACTTGTGTGAATGGGGTCCCAGGGCCAGGGTAGGTAGTGGGATGATTGGAGCCCCAAGCAGCTCATTCAGGGGCACATGGGGGCTCCTGCCACTGCACAAACCCAGGGGAGGCACGGGGGGCATGTGCCCCCAGATTTGAGCGTGGGGTGGAGGCGAGGTGTCTGCTGCAGACTGGGCACTGCACTCCACTGCTACTGCCTTGGGAGCCACAGCCTTGTGCCCCTGGGCTGTGCTGTGTCCCCTCCCCGCCCAGTGGCAGCAGGCATATGGTGTCACACAGCTCCCTCAGCAGCAGCAAAGGCAGCAGGGAGCAGAGCTCAGCCTGCAACAGCAGCCCACCTCCACCCTACACATAAATCCAGGGTGCACGTGCCCTGCTGTGCCTCCCCCAGGGTGCATGCAGCAGCGGGAGGTCCCCAGTGCCCCTGGATGAGCCATCTGGGCTCTGACCATCCCGTGACATGCCCTGGTGCCCTGTTCATCCCGGCCCCTACCCCACTCCCTCCCTCATTCTGGCAGCCTTGATCTGGCCCTCCGCCCCTTCACAGACTGAGACTTGCCTGCTGTGCTGGGCAGTGCTCCACATGCCAGGTTGTAAGTGTCTGAGTCTGTGCTTGCCCCTCCCCCCAGCTCCAGCCACCTGGAGCCTGCACCTGGGCTGTGCTGTGGCCCTACCCACTGCCCCACGTTTGGGTGGGGGGAGCTAAGCCCCATTAGCCCCGGCCTTTCACCGCCTATGGTGGTGCTACCCTACTGAAAATAAAGGGCCAGATCCTAAGATGTTATGGCATCATCAGCTCTCCCTCTGACATGCCTCCTATTTAATATAAAGCACTTAAGTCAACAGAACCTCAATCTATACTGAAAATTCATCACTTGCTTAAGTGTTTTGCTGAATAGGGATGATCAAAAGCATGGACATATGTGGCTTGTTGAATTAGGGTCCCCATGGGAGTCATGGTTGTCCTGTATTTCTAAGGATCAAGGGGAACATATCTTGCACTTCACTTCTTTTCAGCAGTTTTCATGAGTGACTGGTGCCTCCTGAATTGGGGGGGCACCCACAGAAGCCGCTGACAGTGGTGGCCCTGTCGGGGGGAGGCATTAGCCCTACCGACAGCATCAGTATCGGCCATCGGGGGCACACTGGCCCCTTCAGGGGGGATGTGCACCCCCGTGCACCTCCTACCAGTCGCTTATGGCAATTTCCACTTATTTCATCATTTGTGTCAAAGTTTAATTATTTTTAATTTCTAATGTAAAAAAACCTACTTCTTACCTTAAATTCCCCTACCACTGAAGGATCATCATTGTCCTCCGATTTACCTCTGTACAGCTTGAATGTATCACAAAAGTCTATCAAGCCATTAAATTCAGGTACATTCTCTAGCTCACAACGGTACACCTTAAAAAAGAAGTGACATTTGAAAATTCAGTACAAACACTTCATGTATTGGTGGTGTAGAAAAGTTGTATGGCAATTTTTGTATCTTACAGCACAGAACCAGAGGACACTATTTTTATTTCTCCCTCTTAAATGAAGGGGTGAACAGAATCTATATAGAAAATTCACTTCTTTTTTTTCTGTCAGCCTCCATTTGTGTCCTACTCAAAATCTAACTCAACTGCATTTCCCAATTTCAACCTGCACTGGTGCCTGATGTTGGACTAGATGACTCCACAGGTCTTTTCTAACTCATGATTTAACTTCACTTAAATGACAAGGGAGAATGGTTTGGCTCCAACATACATCAACGAACAAAGAAAACTATTCATTAAACATTACTATCAGGGGGAAATTAAAAAGGCAGCATGGCATGCCTCTTCTTCTCAGTGTGCTTTAGGCCTTTCAGTTTGTCTGTCTGTTTTACTTTAGTGCCTGCTCTGGTCCCCATAGAAATCTATGATAAAACTCTTGTGCAGGATTGAGGTCTGAATAGAGTGACAGTCAGTCCCAACTAGCTCAGGAGCCACACAAATCTGCCACAATAACATATATATAGCCCTGGGTGAACTGAGACAAAAAGACACCCTAATTCAAAAAAACCCAACACGATTCCCTATTATAGCCTATGGGCAAAACATCGAAATGAGTTGAAGCAGAGAAAAAGTTTCTATGAAACAAAAAGGGGCAGCGCTTCAAAACAAAACGAAATGACAAAACAAAACACTGTTCCTTCAAAATGGCAAAACGAACATAGAAACGAAACACTGGTGTTTAGCACAGCCCTAATAATAACCACATAAAAATAATCTGATTTTGAAAAGCAGCAACATAATTTTTAAAAAACCATGCATAACAGCCAATGTTTGGGCCTACCAACTTGGAGAGAATCTTTCTAATCTATCCTGAACAGTACCTTTAATGTGGCATATCCTTTTTGAATATACTGTCCGCATTTTTCATGCTCTCCAATTGCAGCATAAAATTTGCTCCACCAGTCAACAATTTCTTCCTCCTAAAAATATAGAAAACCCTGTTATTGGCAGACAAAAATGAGCTCAAGAAAGAGGCAGTCTTTGCCTCTTTTATATTTCATAGTAAAACACATGCCACACAACCTTAAGCACTCACTATCATTGAAATATATTTAAATGTTTGACCCAAAGGTAGAGCACTGACATTCAAAGCTAAGGCTAAATATATTGCTTAGTTCAAAGCAATTAAGATACCAGCACAAATCTATGACCTTCCTACTCCAGTATGCTTCCCAGAGCACAAATTGCCATATTTAATTGCATATGAGAAAATTGACAGTTAGAAAATAAATTTAGACAGTGAATTGGCATTTAGTAATTTTTGGTATTTGGAAAGGAGGTTAATATAGAAAGGGGATCAATACTGGCTTCCTGTTAATACAGTTTGGAATATATGGAGGTTAACATTCAACTTTGCACAGCTTTCCTTAATGTTCCATACTGCTCAGCAGTTAATGGTGGCATTTTATTTAGAACTTTTTGAAAAACTACACATGCTTCCTCCACCCCACACAATGTCAGTGTTATCGTACTGATTGCTCTCTGGAGCTCTCACTCTCAAGAAAGTGCTATGTTATTATAAAGCAAAGTACTGTATATATTACCTTTTCCATAAGCTGCTCATGAGAATCCATTCATAAAAAAGAACAAAACAAAAACAAATTATAAATAAGAACAATGTTGTACATTGGAGAAAAAAGCTTAAAGGAGGAAAGTTCAGTTTTCATATCAAATTTTGTATTTTGAAAAAATAAGTTTAATTATTTAAGAATGATTCAGATATCCTGTTTTGCTAAAACCGTATAGTTATTGCACTAAATATCATTCAATATTTATTTATTACAATGTTTATTACATATCCAATAAAAATGTGGAAGCCATCAAAATCAGCATATTTTATAATATTGGGGTTTTTTATTGAAACAATAAAAAGATAGAGAAACTGTCCATATAATATAGCCTTATAGAACTCAGCCCAGAAATCCCTTTAAATTACAGCTCCCACAGGCATGTTTTGGATTTGCACAGAAGGACTCATGGTTTGTGCAGTTAAAAAAAAAGTATGGGGGGGAGCAGAGGAGGGGGGTGGGGAACCATCAGCCAATTCTCCAGAGATTTAGTTCTGAAGGAATTTTACACCCTTTAGTTTCTGCTTATGCAGATTCTCAGTTCTTGCATATTCATAAGGTAGATACTGAAGCACACGTACTTTATCCTTCACCTTTTTTCTGCCAATTTGTAGATGTTAAAAAGTGCGGACATTTGGGAGTCAAAAATGCGAAGAATCATACATATTTTTAAAAATTTGCAGGATTGGAAAAATGGTCAGTCTATTATAAAGAATTTTTGAAATGATTAAACATTTTTCATAAACAACAAACATTGTGCCAGACTATTTTGGAATCAATGATTGTGATAATGATTTTTTTACATGTATATCATCCACTGTGTTTTAATTTAGAATATAATAATTAAATTCCTGTACAAACCAAAAAAAAAAATCTGGAAAATAGCTTCTAAGTACACACCAAATAGGTGATGAACATCACTATGGTATATCACACTCAAACTACTTCATCTGTATCTTGAAGATAATTATTCTGCCTGAATGTTTAGGTACAAGGTACTTGAGTTGTCATGGCTAACTTTCAGTTGAGATCAGAAACATTTTATGGGGCTAAATTATTTCACACTGACATGAGGGCCTCATTTTTTAAAAGCAGTCAAAACTTTTTTCCTCAGAAATCTTCTCATTACCAATTTGATCATCTACGAGGCACAATATACTTCAAGCACTTTGCATGGTTTTAAATTAACTTTTCTTGAATTTTTAGTTGACTATGTTCATGATACATGCATAATAGTTTTCCAAGGAAACATTTTTATTTGCATTGCTGAACAACAAGATTCATTATAATAATTTTGAATTAGGATGATTTACTGTAGATCATAATATTTAGTTCTCTAAATCTTTTTTTAGAATATAAAGCTCAAGGTGCTAAAGGAGTTTAAGCTATATTTCTCTTTTTCTGCTTTGTCTTCAAATGTGTTTTTTTTAATTGGCTTAAGTTTGGAAAAGGAAACTTTGGGGAAAAATTAAAATCTTTTGATAGTTTTAAACCAATACTTATAGAAACAGGAAATAGTATACCTCTATTTTTAGAAAATATTGTTGTTAGAACTATAAGCAAGATCCATCCACACAAAGCCAGTGATACAGAAGAATACAATTCCATGGTGAATTGAGATTTTGGAGAGAAACATTCATGCAGCAAAGACAGGTAACGGTTTGCCCTTTTTTTAGCTGTATATTATCATCCATGCTCTTCCTTATTAAATACAAAATGGTTATTTTTTATTTGCTACAAATTATGGAGATTTTTTATTACCAGACAGTTGATTCTTGGAAGGGTTACATAATTATCTTTTTTCATTTATGACTGAATTATTTTATCCAACAGTACACTTTCCAATGGAAAAGCACACTTCTAAACAAAGTCGAAATTCAGGTTCATTTTAGGATTTTTAATATGATGTAACCCAGATAGAGAATTAATAATTAAGAAATATTTGCCTAACAGATTATAATTTATAGGAAGAAATTATAAGATTTTTTTTTTAAAAGGAAGAACCCTGGTAATTGTTAAAAATAGCTACTGTACTTGGCATAAAAGCATCTTTCACTCCAAAATCTCTCTAGGGAAGAATTACTGAAAGAGAAGTGAAAGCCTCTTGACCAAATCATCTAAATCCCCACTTTGGTTATCTCCATGCATTAGCTTCGTACATACATACATGCACTGTTGATGGAGAAGCCAATTTGTTGAGTGCTGTTGACATACTGCTTAAACACTGGAAATTGGAATGCAGTTGATGAAATGTCTGTATTTGTGTCCTTAGCACATTACTTATGCTTTCCAAAAATGTGCTTAATTAATTTTAAATCTTCTAAACATTTCTTAAGCATGCCATTACTGTATGTATTATTATATTACATTAGCTAAGTTGATGTCTGACTCCATAAGGTGTCTACTGCACTGTACAGTAAGATTTTCCATATTACAATTGGTATCCTGGTCCCACTGTAGTTATAGTTTTGACACTACCTTCAAGGGGGCTAGATTTTAATCCAATGTTCTATATGTTTTGTTTATAATAATTATTAACTGAAGCAAGAAATTCCCAATACAGATTTTGAACTTGAAAAGCATGCACATAACTAAAACAGAAAGTCTATTCAAATAAATTAGTAGAAGAGTGGGGTTTTTCCTACTACATTATATTATATATCAAGAGCAGTCCATATATCTGAGAAAAAAGAATATAAGGAAAGGTATGATGAGGGGTCTAAACAAGAGTCCATTCTTTTTTGGTATTAATGGCTCTTCTACACATTTCATCTATGCTGCAAATAATATGTTAATTGTGGCATAAATGGCAAAGGCAATACATTGTGTACCCAATTTAAGGTGGCATAAAATGGCAGACTGTCCAAAAATATGTTCCACATAAAGTGTAGAACATTTTTATGGCTGGCTTGTATAATGCCTCAAATTGAACATCTGGCATGTGTAGGGCTGCCCTAGGTTAGGGCTGACAGTCAACTGATTGTTGGCAATGGCCCTCAGAGCAGTCTTAGTTCTCCAGCTGAGTGGACTCCTGGTAGAAACAACCTCATTCAGGAGTTTAACCCCTGTACTCAAACTCCCCTATGTTGGGGTTGAGGATCCCAGAGTGGGGAGCTGAAGGTCTGCCAGGGATTTTTAACCTGGTGCCCTACAGCTCCCTTGACTGCTGGGTGTGTGGCATCAGAGGCTGCCAAGTGGGGAGACACTCCAGGGTTTTGAACATGTCTGGGGCTATCTTGGGCCAGGGTGACAATGAGATCATTGTCGGCCCTAGTCCCAGGACAGCTCAAGTTCTCACCAGGCTGCGGGCACCTGGGTTTCAATTTGCCAGTACAGGGGAGTGATCATGATGCTGGCCTCTCCCTGCACTGGCAAGTAGAAAAGGTGCAACTGGGATTTCTTATCCCAGAAATCACATGTCGTGCCATGCACCTGTGACCTGGCAGGAGGCACAATTGTTGGGACTAGGGATCAGATCCCCTGGGATCTTTACATGAACATGTGCCAGAGGACTAAGAGTCAGAAATAGTTGAAGAGATCTTCCTGACAAGAAGACAAAATAAAAGGAAGAAAAGACATGTTGGTGCAGCAGAAAGGTTTCAGCGATATGAGTTTGGAATGACCACAGTGCTTGGGAATGTTAGCATCATGTCTACCCCATCTTTGGGTTATGCTTGTCATCACAAATGGATGTCAATAAGTCTTTTATACCATGATTTTGATTCTCTGCTCCATCCAAAGGGAAAGTAGCAATCCACTTGTGCTTCTCTGATTCAAGGGTCCCAAGTCCCAGTGCACGTTAAAACTGCACAGTAGCAGCAATAATTGACACCAGGGGAGAACTCAGGAAAGTTTACTGCCTCTCTTGCTTATTCAAGGCCAGTTTGCACTTTCCCTGAGCAGATCAGAGAATTCCTCCCTCTGCGTTCACTTTATACCACTTATTTTTAGTTTTCAAAGATTTAGAAAGCTTTGAGGTACTTTATTCACTCGCCCCTCCTTGCATTTCCACAAATCTCTCTGACATCTCCAAGCTGTCTCACTGACAACTTTACATTTAACATTGCTGTAACTTAGTTGCTTATTTTTTCCCTAAATACTCTTGTCTACCTGCTTTCTTTCTTACTGCTGATAACACCATAATGTTCTCCATTGCTCAGGATAATAACCTGGAGTTACATTCTGCTCCTCCCTCTCTCTCTCACCTCACATCCACAATGTAATCTTTAAGCAATATATAACATTATCAGGTGAAAGATATACAAATGAAAACAACATAAAAGACTCAATATTTTGTATTTTGATGTGTCTGGTTAGGTACAAAGTCACTGTAAGTGCTTTCCAAAAGTTAGCTTCTCAGTATTTCTGGACAAATGGGAAAACTGTAAGATGGTATATCATTAGCTATTACAAAACAGTGCACCATCTGTAGTTTATTTGGGCATACTATTGAGATTCCTGTGATAAGCCCAAACATCTGCTTGCTTTCATTGGCTCTGTTTAGGTAGCACAATTACAGAGCAGATATTATGACAAGACAAAAGGGGACTGATTAAAAAATATCCTTGGTGAAGTAAGATAAATGGCATAAAAAAATTTCACATTATAACTTCAAACCCCAATGACAAACGAAAAAGATAAATCAGCATAGTAACAGTTGTTCATTCAGTGTTTATGCATTTTTGCTGGGTATATTTCAAGAAGTTTCAGCAAGTGCTTCATCCAATGAAAAGCAGAATTCAGCATGAGCTGTGACAGCTTTTGATTTGGTTATGACAGCTGCAATTATTTCTCCTGAATGGTCTAGAAAAAATGAGGATATGATTGGAGTAACAGAGACCAGGTGGGATAGCTCAAAGGACTGGAGTACTGTCATGGATGTGCATAAACTGTTCAGGAAGGACAGGCAGGAGAGAAGAGGAGGAAGAGTTGCACTTTATGTAAAAGTGCTCTTTGATTGTCAGAGGTACAGTATGAAACTGGAGATAGGCCTGTTGAAAGTCTCTGGGTTAGGTCTAAGGGGAGAGCAACACGGGTGACATCATGTTGAGTGTCAACTATAGACCACTTCATGGGCGACTGGTGCCTCCTAACTTGCCCCCTCCCCGACTGGACAGTCAGTGATGGGGGGAGGGGGAGCCTGGAGCCAATCCCACAGCCCATGACGGATTCTGCCAACCTGCAACTAGCAGCGGCACACTGCTGGCACTTCCAGGCACGCCACTGACACTTCCGGGTCAGTGGGATTGGACATGGGGGCTCTGCTTCTCCTGGCACACCCCCCGGCCAGCACTCTCAGGGGAAGCACCAATGCTTCCCTGCCCCCCCTGCCTGGGAACACTGTCTGACAGGGAGTGTACCAGCACTCTCATGGGGTGCACATGCACCCCCTACACATTGCCACTGGACCACTTGACCAGGAGGATGAGGTGGATGAAGATTTCTTCAAAAAGCTAGTGAAAGTTTCCAGATCACAGGCCCCAGTTCTCAGGGGGAACTTCAGTCACTCTGACATCTACTGGGAGGGCAACACAGCAGTGCATAGACAATCCAGGAAGTTTTTGGGGAGTATTGGTAACAGCTTTCTGGTGCAAGTGCTGGAGCGGCCAACTAGAGACCATGCTTTTCTTGATCTGCTGCTCAGAAACAGGGAAGGATTGGTGGGGAATGTAGAAGTGGATGGCAACTTGAGCAGCAGTGACCATGAGATGCCTGAGTTCAAGATCCTAAGAAAAGGAAGGTTGGAGAGCAGTAGAGTATGGCCACTGGACTTCAGAAAAGCAGATTTCAACTCACTCAGGGAACTGATGGGCAGGATCCCTGGAGAGGTCAGTCTGAAGGGGAAAGGAGTCCAGGAGAGCTGGATGTGTTTTAAAGAAACCTTACTGAGGGTACAGAAACAAACCATCCTGATATGCAGCAAGACTAGCACATATGGCACAAGGCCAACTTGGCTCTTCAGTGAACTAAATCACAAAAAGGAAGCTTACAAGCAATGGAAACTTGGACAAACAACTAGGGAGGAGTTTAAGAGTATTGCTCGAGCATGCAGGGTTGAACTCAGGAAGGCCAAAGCGTAATTGGAGTTGCAGCTAGCAAGGGATGTGAAGGATAACAAGGATTTCTACAAGTATGTCAGCAACAAGAGGAAGATCAGGGAAAGTGTGGGTCCCTTAATGAATGTGGGAAGCAATCCAGTGACAGATGATGATGAAAAGACTGAAGTACTTAATGCCTTTTTTACCTCAGTCTCCACAGGCAAGGTCAGCTCCCAGACTACTACACCTGGCAGCACAGTTTGGGGAGAAGGTGAGCAGCCAACAGTGTTGAGAGAACAAGTTAGGAACTATTTTAAAAAGTTGGACATGTAACAAGTCCATGGGGCTAGATACGATGCACCCAAGGGTGCTGAGGGAATTAGCTGATGTGATTGCAGAACTGCTGGCCATTATCCTTGAAAACTGATGGTGATCAGGAGTGGTCCCACATGATTGGAAAAGTGCTAATATAGTGGTCTTTTTTATGAAAGAGGAAGAGGAGAATGAGGGATACCACAGATCTGTCAGCCTCACTTTAGTCCTCGGAAAAATCATGAAGCAGGTCCTCAAGGAATTCATTTCTAAGCACGTGGAGAAGAAGATTATGATTAGGAACAGTCAGCATGGATTCACCAAGAGCAAGTCATGCCTGGCCAACCTGATTTTCTTTTGTGACAAAATGATTTGCTCTGTGGATGTGAGGAGAGAAGTGGATGTGATATATCTTGACTTTAGCAAGGCTTTTTCTTTGGTCTCCCACAACTTTCTTGTAAGGAAGCTAAGGAAATATAGGATGACTGAATGGACTGCAAGATGAACAGAAAACTAGTTGGCTCATAAGGCTCAAAGGGTAGTAATCAATGCCTTGATGTCTAGTTGGCAGCTGGTATCAAGTGGAGTGCCCCAGGGGTCAGTCCTGGGGCCGGTTTGGTGGAGTAGTAGATACCCTGAAGGGTAGAGCTACCCTTTTTCAAAAATGGGAGGAAGGAGGACCTAGGAAACTATAGGCCAGTTAGTCTTACCTTGCTCCTGGGTAAGCTTTTTGAGAGAATTATCCTGGTGCATGTCCACGAGGGGCCAGCAGGGGAGGTTATGCTTAGGGGCAACCAACATGGGTTCATTAGAGGCAGGTCCTGTCAGACCAACCTGGTGGCCTTCTATGACCAGGTCATGAAATCCTTAGATGCAGGGGTTGCAGTGGAAGTAGTCTTTCTGGACTTTAGAAAGGCCTTTGACACTGTCTCTCACCCCATTCTCATTAAAAAACTAAGAAACTGTAGCATCAATACCTACACAGTCAGATGGGTCGCTAGTTGGCTGGAGGGCTGCACCCAGAGAGTGGTGGTGGATGGGTCTTATTCAACCTGGACGGATGTGGGCAGTGGGGTCCCCCAGGGCTCGGTCCTCGGGCCCACACTGTTCAATATGTTTATCAGCGAGTTGGATGGGGGTGTAAACAGCACCCTGTTCAAATTCACAGATGACACTAAGATGTGGGGAGATGGGCATGCCACAAGGGAGGAATAGGCTGCAATTCGACCTGGACAGTTTACAGGGGTGGGCAGATGAGAATAGGATGGGTTTCAACACTGACAAGTGCAGGGTGCTGCACCTGGGGGGGAAGAACCAGCAGCAGACCTACAGGGTGGGGAACTCCCAGTGCAGAGGCAGAAAAGGATCTTGGAGTCATTACTGATACCAAAATGAACGTGGGCCGACAGTGTGGGGACGCGGTCAGGAAGGCCAACCGTACCTTGTCATACATCCACAGATGCATCTCAAGCAGGTCCGAGGAGGTGATCCTCCCCCTCTATGTGACACTGGTCAGGCCGCAGTTGGCATACTGCATCCGGTTCTGGGTGCCGCACTTCAGGAGGGATGTGGACATGGAGAGGGTCCAGAGGAGGGCCACCCACATGATCAGGGGGCAGCAGGGCAGGCCCTATGAGGAGAGGCTACGGGACCTGAACCTGTTCAGCCTCCAGAAGAGAAGGCTGAGGGGGGATCTAGTGGCCATTTACAAACTAGTCAGCGGGGACCAACAGGCATTGGGAGAGTCCCTGTTCCCCCGAGCACTCCCAGGAGTGACAAGAAATAACGGTCACAAGCTGGCAGAGGGTAGATTCAGGCTAGATATCAGGAGGCGCCACTTCACTGTCAGGGCGGCTAGGATCTGGAACCAACTTCCAAGAGAAGTGGTGCTGGCTCCTACCCTGGGGGTCTTTAAAAGGAGGCTGGATGAACACCTTGCAGGGGTCGTTTGACCCCAGTACTCTTTCCTGACATGTCAGGGAGTCGGACTTGATGATCTGCTCAGGTCCCTTCCGACCCTACCTACTATGAAACTATGAAACTACGATTCAGAGCAACCTAGACAAACTGGAGGACTGGACCAAAAGAAGTCTCATGAAGTTCAATAAGGACAAGTGCAAAAGTCCTGCACTTAGGTTGGAATAATCCCATGCACTGTTACAAACTGGGGACTGGCTAAGCAGCACCTCTACAGAAAAGGACCTGGGGGTTACAGTAGACAATAAGCTGAATATGTGCCAAGAGTGTGCCCCTTTTGTGAGGAAGGCTAACAGTATACTGGACTGCATTAGGAGAAGCGTTGCCTGCAGATCAAGGGAAGTGATTATTCCCTTTGATTTGGCACTGGTGAGGCCATAACTGGAGTACCGTGTCCAGTTTTGGACCACTATAGAAAGGATGTAGACAAATTGAAGAGAGTCCAGCAGAGGGTAACAAATATAGTTTGGGGGCAGGAGCACATGACTAATGAGGCGAGGCTGAGGAAACTGGGTTTATTTAATCTGCAGAAGAGAAGATAAGCGGGGATTTAACAACAGTTTTCAACTACCTGAAGGGGGATTCCAAAGAGGATGGAGCTGGACTTTTCTCAGTGGTGGCAGATAACAGTACCAGGAGTAATAGTCTTAAATTGCAGCATGGGAAGTTTAGATTAGATATTAGAAAAATCTGTTTCATAAGGAAGGTAATAAAGTACTGGAACAGGCTACCATAGAGGTTATGGAATCTCCCTCCTTAGCAGTTTTTAAGACACAAGTAGACAAAGCCTTGGCTGAGGTGACATAGTTGAGGATTGTCCTGCTTTGAACAGGGGTTGAACTAGGTGACTCCTGAGGTCCCTTCCAGCCTTGATTTTCCATGATTCTATGAAAAGCTTCTAGGCAAGTGTGGTCACAGAAACACTGAATTTAAGCAAATATTAAATAATATTGGTGGAGGCTGGGTTTATAACTTGAAAATAAAGTTAGATTTCCTTTGTAGATATTTGTAAGTGTTATTCTAGTCAGGAAGTCAAAGTATTCTATATGATATGTGTGTCCAACCAACAGTAACCAACACTTGTAAGAATTTAAAACTTGAGAGTCTATGACAAACTTCTCATGACCATTGTAGAGCTTGGAAATTATTCACTAAAAGTTTTCAGTATATAGTTCTGAATATCATATACATCTGAAAAATGATAGGCTGCCTGAAAACATTAATGGAGAGATGTAGAGTAAATTGACTGAATTTACATTGTTTACATTGTTTATACTTAATTTTTTCTCAGCACCACTAAACATAAAAAACTTAATTTTAAGGTTTAGTATAAGAAAAAAGATTAAGGATAATTAAGATTTCTGTTGCTCTCCTGTCACAAAATAACTTTAGCTTAAAATGACTTTCCAAGAGGCTGCAGAGCTTCTTTCACATGCTTCTCTTATAATTTTGCTGCCAAAATTGTATACTAAATTGGACCTACTAAATGATGGATCCAAAGTCAGCCAGTCAAGCATCAGATTGCAAGGATTACCTGAGCTGCTAGCAGTGGTTGTGTGTCTTCCACTTCAATAACAACATCTCGGCGAGGTGCAGCAGCCAAGAGACTAACTGTAAATTAGATATTTTATTAAACTTAAGTACCACCTGTGAACTCTTCTGTCTACTGAAATTGAAATGTTATAAGGAGACAAAAATGTCTTTGCCATAATTTGATGCTTTCAATATTTGCCATGTTTTGAAAATTGGTACTAAGGATATTTTAAGTCATTTTAAAAAAAAATAGCTATAATTAGCTGTGTTATACACACAATTTTCTCTCATGCAGACATGCACATCAAATGCTATGGAATTTCAAAGAAAAAGCAGTCAATCCAAAAACAAAACACATTTTTCAAAACCAGAAATGATATACAGGCACCTAACTTCCTTTGAAAGTTAATGGGAGTTAAAGGCCTGCCTATTTATGCTTTTGAAAAAGCTCCTTCATAATGCACTACCATGGGAACATGGTGTCCAACATGCACAACACAATGGTACAGTTCAGTCAGCCATTCTGTTACAGGAACTGTAACGGAGCACATTACAAGTGTGACCCTCAAGCTGATCTGAAAGAATACTCACATGGTTAAAACATAGGATTAGGTCCAGGTTTCCCTGCCAGTTCCTCCTTTAAAAACTACTGTGCTATTTCCATCCATTCTCTGACACACGGATGCACATAAAACAGAATAAATAGCTAGTTTTATAAGTAAACAATGGTCTTCAAATTAAATTTACCCAGAAAATGCAAAGTAATTGCTGCATCATCTCTGTAATAACTGAGTCTTTGCTTTCATTCTTTCAGTTTTCTCCTTGAATATTGATTCTCAACAGGAGTACTTCCAACAAAAGTCACATAATGACAGTTATAGATTCATAGATTGGTAGGGGCTGGAAGGGACCTCACAAGATTATCAAGTCCAGCTCCCCTGCACTAGGCAGAAAAGACAACTGGGGTCTGGTGAGTATATATATATATACAGAACATGGTGGGAACATTGTTTATACTTAATTTTATCTATACACACACACACACACACACACACCATATATATATTATAGGAAAAATGTCAGAAGTATCAATTACTCCAGTTCTTCCAATACTGTCTACACTGTCTCTCTTCTCTGAAACTGTGTAGTTTAATGCAACATAGCTTAATATTGTGGATATGCTTTTCCACGCAGATCACACCTCTATGACTTAATATACAACATTAGATGGCTACAAATCAACACAATATGTACAGTAAAGATCTTTTATAAGAAAAGAGAATTATTTTTATTTTCTATCTACCTTTTTGTTGTGGTGCAATATCTGCTATAGTAGCATAAGGATCACAGCGAAAGTTTTCCAGTTGATCAATAGTACACTGCCCAACAACAGGTTTTCGTCCAAATGCCCTGTGATCAATCACTTTAATAACTAGTGATGGAGTGTACAGCTCCTCCTTGGGCAAAAGCTAGGAGTGGAAAGGTAAATTGTTTGTTTAAAACCTACATGCATAAGAAGAATAAAGGGTATTTACTATCAGAAAGACTACAGGGCTGGGCCACAACTTCGATAATATAATGCCAAACTCTAATGATCTATGAATATGTGATGTATGAAATAGATAATTCCAATAAATGATCACAGGAATAATCTTGTAAAATACATTTATAGGCTCAAAGTCAAATTCCTGAGTTTCTCATTATATTAATGGGTGCTATATGAATTCTTACATAGGTCTACAGATAAATAAATAGTTTCTCAAAAAAGTCATATTGCATAGTAACATATGGGAATACAGTACCTCCTCAGTATTTGTGAGGACTTGTTTACTAGGGGTGCCCAAAGTGGGCCCTATTCAATTTGGATTCAAATCAGGGACAGTGATTCAATTAGTTGATTCAAATCACTGTCACTGATTCGATGTGGCCGAATCTCAAGATTCAATGCTGATTTGGAGAATTAGCGATTTGGACATAGACACAGCTTTAAATGCTTTTTCTACATACCTCAAGGTACCAGCGCGGCTCATGAACACTGTAATGCTGGGGCGGATGGAGCATCCCACAGGAGTGTGGGGGAGCCCTCCACGTGCTCAGTGGCGAACCCAGAAGTGGAACTGAAGTACTTCTGGTCCACTTCCAGGTCTGCCAGGGAGTGCCCAGGGCCTCCCCTCCGCACCCCTCCCAGCTTGGTGATTGGCCACGGGGGGACCCAGGAGGCACCAGGCACTGAGCCAGGAGGATGAGGGGGGGCCCCCCTGTATGCTCCCCATTGGACCCAGAAGCGGACTGGAAGTGCTTCTGGTCCACTTTCGGGCCTGCTGCCAAGCACACTGGGGAGCCCCCTGTGCTCCTGTGGGACACTCCATCCAACCCAACATCACAGCATTCATGAGCTGCCTGGTGCCTAGAGGTATGTAGAAAAAACATTTAAAGCTGTGTCTATGTCCGAATCTCCAAATCGATTCAGAGAGTTCCAATTTGATTTGGAGAGATTAAAGGGTCCTCTGATTTGATATGGATTCGGAGATTCGGCCACTGAATTGGGCTGACTCTTTGCTGAATCGAATCAGGAACTGAAGCTTCGCACAGCCCTAATGTTTACAGTATCATTATAAGAACTTTCAGACTTACCTCATCAGAGCACCATATATAATTTATTATATTGATTTTTCTCATAATCTAAAAATAAAAACTCTAAAGCCTAGGACATTTACAACTACTAAAGATCTCTGCTGCGTAATATTAGCACCATACCACTTTCATAAAGAGAACAGAGCCTGGAAAATTCGGTGTCTTTTTGAGGTTTTTGATCACCACAGATTCCACCATTTCACCCCCGCACTCCACAATGAGGCTTGGAGAAGTAACAGGAGCCACTTGGTAGTTTTTCATGTTTCGTAATCCCCAGGCAAGAATCTGTACATAAAATCCAAATACAGGCAGCATTAGAAGAAAACACTGTACTAAATGTGATACTCAAAAAGTAAAAGGAAGGGAGAAATCTTTCCCGGGCCAAATATTTTAAGTCTTGTTTTACCAAAAAATGTCAGTGGCATAATGAGGGAGGGTGGGGGACAACAGGGGAAACTGCCCTGGGTGCTAACTTGGGGGAAGGGGAGCAAAAAAGTGGCTGATGCCAGCAGCCATGTGTTCATATTTACAACTGGGGCAGCAACCATAAGTCGCTGCTTCCAATTTGCCCCAAGCACCTGGCTGTATCCCTACCCTGCTTTAAAATGTTAATGAACTAATATGTGAACTGTTTCTCAGTATAATATATTTCATTATTTAATTTTAATCACAAAATATATATGAAGACATTTAGTTCCTATCATGTTAGATTCCTATATTCATTTTGAATGCATTTAAGGAGGATAAACAGTACCTCAACAGCAGTTAGCTGAACCACAGGCCTGATTCCTTGAGGGACCATGTAGAGCTTTGGTGCTCTTTGTGATGGAAGAATTGGAAGGTTGGAGCCATCCTATTAAGAAAAGCAAATACACATATGTTTCTTTTCTTTTTTGTAAATATGATGCACCATATACACTGAATTTACAAAACTCTTAAGTTTATTTTGGATGTATATTTTTTTAAATTTACCTTAGCCCTCAGAATAAGTTCAGCAGCAAAAAGGATGTCCCCAGCAGCCTTGCCATTATTTATCACAGGATACCAGAGAAGCTTAGGGGTGATATCCACTTCTGGGTTTAATTTTACCACTGGGGAGCAAACACTTCTTCCTAGAAATTCATCTTTACCCTGGATGAATTAATCAATATCATTAATCTGCTATCATCAAATAAACAACCACAGGGGATTAAGAAAGAAACTTTTTCTTACCACTTGGTCATTGTCAAAGAGTTCAATAAGCACATCAGGTGGGTTTTGTGCTACTGTCTGTGGATCTCCATAGATTTCAATTTCATTAAATATAAGAGTTTGATCCCATGTAGGATTTAGAGTTGAATGGATAATCTCTGTTGTCTTGCTTCGATGGAGGAAACTAACATGAGCATATGGATCTGAAAGACCACAAAAAGATTTAGAACATATACTTTATAAATGGAAAACAAGGCCAGATCCTCAGCCAGTATAAATTGTCCAAATGCAGATTTTGCCCACATTATTTTGCTTCTCATTCCTTTCCAGCTGAATTCTTTATACCACTTCATGTAACAAACATGAGAGTAATAAGAGGCAGTGAACGACCCAGTTACAAAGTATACCATCCCACTTTATTGATCAGAAAAAGTTTGTCCTGCTAGTATTGAAAGTAGTGTGTATAACTAAAATATACTGTATTTACTTGAATCTAAGACAAGGTCACCCCTCCCCCTCCTCCCGCCAAATCAGCATGGTCCCGCAATCTCTGGCCCCTCATCTTAGATTTGTGTAGAAAAGCAGCTGTTGCAGCCCTGAACCTGGGTTGAAGCCAGAGCCGTAGCAGCCTCCTACCTACCCTGCATGCTTGCCCTCTGCAGTTTCTGTTCCCCACTCTACCCCTTCCTCCCACTTACTGTCAGGCTCAGTTTAGCTCCAGTTCAGTCTGGATTACCTCCTGGGCACAGAGTACAGAGAAACTGCATCCCTTGCCTGGTCAGTCAGCAGCACCACAGATGCTGCTGTATGGCCTGCCAGGGCTGTGCTTCAATGTGCTGTGCTCCAGGAGGAAGAGAGCCCAACAGCATCTGACAGTAAGGGGAGGGGGAAGGAAAGAGGCAGAGACTGCAGAAAGCAGGAGGGGAAGGGGCAGAGACTATAGGGAGTGAGGGGAAGGGGTAGATGCTGGGTGTGGGGGGTTCCAGGGGCAGTAGGGCAAGAAGGCTGCAGGGGAAAGAAGTGGGGGTGGGCAGAGAACAAGGGGGGCACCTGACACCCCCCCCCCCCCCCCCCCCCCCCCTCTCTTCCGCTGTACGTCGGTCCCGCTGCCCCCCCCCCCCCCAGCCACAGCTTTCTCTGCTGTAGCAATGGGAGAGGGATGAATTTAAGACAACCCTACAATAATTAGATTTTACACCTCAAAAATTATAATGAAAAATTCCATATATAGAATCTAATTATTGGGGGTATTCTTAAATTCAGGGTTGACTTATTTTCAAATAAGTATGGTAATTTATAGATGCCACAGTATAAGCATGTAAAAGACCTAGGTTGATAACTTTCCCAACCATTATACTGACTATGAAAACCAGGTCATCTGGACTGGAAGGGTTATTTAACAGTATCTACATCTGAAATTTGAAAATAAATCTGAACCCTCAGTTATTCCTTTTTAAGACTTGAAAAATTAACTTCACTTTCACATGCCTCCCCACTACCTATTCTAACTGGGATCATAAGTATAGTGCCTAAATACCATCACCAAAAATATTTTTGGAAAAATTATGGCTGAACTATGAACAAAGAATAATTAGAAGTGTCTGGTGTTACTGATATCCTATCTAGTACACCAAAAGACACTTGTCTGAGCTGACTTTGAGAGAAAAAAACCCAGAGATTATTCTCGTCACAGTCTATACTTGCCCATTCCTACTTGTCAAAACTCAGCTCTGTATTCTCCTGGATGGAAGCCCAGCTCAGCTTTTCTTGAAAAATGTCTCCTCAGTCTAGATATGCTGCATGATGCTGCAGAACATGAATGCTTCCCACCCCCCCTTCCTCAATATACAAGTCACTCAAGTCATCAAGTCAATGCAGGGTCTGCATAGGTGGTCCAAAGATAGATTTTAGGTCACATCTGAATTGGTAACTATTTTGTTATTAAGTGTCAAGATTTGAAATAACTTGGGAAGTGAAAGAATCCATTCCTTTTAAGTTTCATGGACCACCCAACTGCCCTTCATAGTCTTCACAGTCATAACCAAAAAAATGTTTAGCATAGAACTGATGTGACCTTTTCCACATACCAAATACAGTTAGGTTACTGAAGAGTTTACTTTTTGCAAGTCTTGAATAATGTAATACTAGTATAATGCAGGGGTCAGCAACACCCGGCATGTGTACCAAGCATGGCACGCGAGGCTTTTTTGTTCAGCACACAACCAGCAGTCCAGGCTGTAGGCAGCTGCGAGGCTGGCAGCAGCTACCTAGAGCCTGGGCCAGCTATAGCCAGGAGGCTGAAAACAGCTGCTTCAGGCTCTGGAGCCCTGACATCACCTCCATACTGCTGGCAGGTGTACACACGACTCAGAGTGGATGGTGGGAATAGGGCCTGAGACAGGGCAACCCTCCCCCACTGTCCAATCTGAGGTGCGTATGCAGTCGCTGCCAGCATGGAGCTGATGCCAGGACTCTGGAGCCCAGTGCAGCTGTTTGCAGCCTGCTCGCTGCCTGCTGCAGCTGCCCGGAGCCCAGTTTGGCTACAAACAGCTGGGCCGGGCTCTGGAGCCCCATCATTGTCTCTGTGCCAGCAGCGACTGCACACGTGTCTCAGAGCGGACAGCAGGGGAGAGGCTAGGGCTGCACTGCCTCAGGCCCCTCCCCCACTGTTCACTCTGAGGCACGCGTGCAGCCACCTATATGGAGCTGATGCTGGGGGTCCAGAGCAAGGGTGGCGCCAGCTGCTTCCCAGTGGTGGGGCTGGGCCAGGAGGCTCCACCCCCCCAGTGCTGCCACTGCCACCTGCCTGCCCCGCACGGCTGAGCCCACCCGACTTCCACCTGCTCCAACCCCAGCCCGGGCCTAGCACCCCCACTGGGATGAGGCTGTTGCTGCCCCTGCCAGGAGCACCGCACCTTTGCAGGCTTAGCTGTGTGGGGTGGGTGGATGGCGTGGTGCTGGGAGGGGTGGCTAGAGAAGGGCTAACATGAATTTTGGAGCCTTCCCAGAGCCCCCCCTAATGCCGCTCCTTTAGCTGGCTGATGGGCAGACTCTGGGCTGGGGACTCGGCAGGCTGTGCTTCAGCAAGCCCAGGGCATTGTCAGGTTGAACTTTGTCCGGTGGCCCAGCAGCCCGGCTCCATGCGTGCGCACATCTGGTTCTGTGTGTTTGTCTGCCTCTGTCTGGTTCTGTGTACACACATGTCTGGTTCTGTGTGTGTGTCTGGTTCTCGGTGTTTGTGCACATGTGGTTCTGTGTGTGTGTTGCATGTGTATGCGTCTGGTTCTCTGTGTGCATGTGTATTCGTCTGGTTCTCTCTCTTCTCTCCTTTTTTTCCTCTTTCTCTCTCTCTCCTCTTTTTCTCTTCCTTCTTTCTTCTCCCTCTCTCTCATTGCAACGTGCTTAACAAAAAGTAATATGCAACAACAAAGGTAGTATATAATGTTTGATTTATTGTCACTGGGTTTAGAATTCTTAGAAAACTTGGTATTTACTGTAAAAATATAAAATAAAGGAGGGCAACGTTTATGATTATTAACTATCTTAATATGCAGCATGTCCTGCCATGTACCCCCACCCTGGTTTTGTTTTTCTGGCATGCCGGCACTGTGGCACCTTACAAGGTAGACATTGTGGCTTTTTCGGCAGTCTGGCCATAAAATGTTGCCTACCCTGATATAATGATTCAAATATCTTATGAATCTGAAAATTAGTCTGAAATCTAAAATGTAATATTGGCCATACTAGCCTCCTTTTAAACCTACAAATATGTACTCTCTACCTAAGGTTTTCCGTGAAGCCTCTTTTAATAAACAATTTCATAGACTCATAAATAATACAAAAGATTGTCTAGTTCTGACTAGTTGCTGACCAATAAATTCTACCAGGCGTTTGCCTAGATCAAGCTTTGGTCTCAAACATGCTTATTTATGGCAGCCCCTTCCTTTTGTGAAACAGAGCTAAATAATTAAAGTGTTCTAGCCCTACTATTAGTCAGACCTTTAAATCACTGGATTCTCAGAAGAAGGTAGCTTATGATGGATATTAACGTTTCCTGTACAAATTGCATTTATCAAGTGCTAGAGGCTATTTTAAAGGTTATCATTAGGTCAGCTTCAACAGCCTCTAGCTAGGTATCTAATCAGAGTTGTCCATACTTTGTTTAACTCCTCCATAGTTATTTCTATAAGAAAGTGCAAGTTCAGGTGCTCCGGTTTGCATGTTTCTGCATGTGAGGTATCTGCCTTAGCTACCATACAGCCTCATTATAATAATGAACCACTCATCATAAAAATGTTCTTTAGAAAAGGGTGTTTGTTCTAATTTAATTAATCAGCTTCCTGCACCATAATGAAAAAATCAGTTTCTGCTGCTAGAATTGTTAAGAGCAGGGATTTATTATACACAAGGTTTGTTAAGTGAGGTGATACGGTATTTATACAGTAAGATGGAACCTGTAAAACCAGAAACTTGTTCAAGTTGGAAAATGTCCATGACCCTTGAATGGCTCATGGAGAATTACATATATTTAATTTGTATAAGCTTGAAACTAACATGGAAATGGTAAGTAAATTTGGAGCCCATTCGTAGAATCACCCTGTATATCATAAAAAGTAATTATGTATTGTATGCATGCATGCATGTGTGCATGGTGTGAGTACAGAGAAGACAGGCTGGGAAGCATGAGAGAGAAAGCATGAAGCAGAGGGGCTGGGAGCATTGAGAGAGGAAGACCAAGGAGTGGAGGGGCTGGGAAGCTCCCTCTATAAAAAGGAAAACTGGTGAAGCTAGAAATTTTTCCCAGTGCCACGCAATTCCATCTTAGAAAGATTTAATTGTGCGTATATGTGTGTGTATAAATCTAATTAGGAGAAAACAGTGTACTGAATATGATACTTAAAAGTAAAAGGAAGGGACAAATAAAGTCTTTTCAGTCATTGTATAATTATAACTACACTCTCTCACCCTCTCTCTCTTACCTACCTCCCTCCTCTTTCCAGTAATGGGCTGTGTTGTTTTTTGCAATTATTTGTAATTGTTGAACATCCAGATAAGGCTAAAATAATACCATATGCAATATACACAGACATTCATCTCAGAAAAAAACAGGAGAAAACAGTGCTATCTCTACATTAGGTATAGATTTGCATGTATTATAACAAATCAAGGGATGCACTAGACATATTCAGTTAATAATAAAAAGAAAAGAAAAGAAAAGAAAAGACAAAAATGACAAAACAATTGAAAACCCTAAACCAAAAAATAAAAAGGGGAGTCATCCACTGCATCTTCATCTTCAACCTAACTTACCTGTTAAAAGTCCAAAATCATGTTTATACAGTATTCCATTTCTATCTCTGCTCTTCCAGTTGAACAGTTTATTGCAAACATCAGAAACTAAAGACTTTGCAACCTGAGTGATTATTACATTGCTCATTTTGAAATATACCAAATAAGTTATATAGGTAGAAATATCTAAGACTTCATACAAATTAAAACAGTGTCTAAAAGCGAAACATCTGATCATCACACTCCTACTAACAAACTAACATTTGCAAATCTCAACAATAGTTCAAACAGCAATACTGCCTAGTGAGTGGTGACATCACCTGCATTCCTTCTGTATAGTTAAATAGTAATGAATACCTCAGTACAAATAATCAAAATTGATGTTTAATAACAGCATACATAGGATCTGTAATTCCTTTATAAGTCAAACTTAGTGCTAATATAACAGAAAACATTTGATATGAACAGGAAATTGTCACATGAAGCTGCCATTGCAGGCTGGTGAAAGAAGCATTAGAAACAGCCATAGCCATAAAGGATGTTAGCACCCAGAAGAGTTCTAGCCATGAAATAGCACAGCTTTTGCACTGCCACTCTGGGATCTCTGCCAGAAAGTATTTGGCTGAGGGTGGCTGTCCAGGGGGGGCTTGTGAATCTGTGCATTCCCCAAGTACACTGGCTGCCCCTCCTTATTGGCTAGTACTATGAATTAGGGGTGTGTGAAATGGGCTGTATTTGATTTGGATTCAGATTCATCCCAAATCGGGGGACAGTGATTTGATTTGTTGATTCGGATCACTGTCCCGATTCGATTCGGCTGAATCTGAAGATTCTATGCTGATTCAGAGAATCAGCGATTTGGCCATAGACACAGCTTTAAATGTTTTTTCTACATACCTTGACCGAATCAGCAACTGAAGCTTCACACAGCCCTACTATGCATTTAAGACTGTGTTGGCCAACTCTGGATCCCTCCAAAGCAGAATTTCAACCACAGGGTCCTAACAATAGGTAAATCAACCTATTCTATAGCTGAATCAAACTATACAAGCACTGTGTACTACACAAGCACTGGGGTTTTACACAATGGAAAAGATCTGCAGTATTAACAGTATTTTTCCATACCTGAAAAGCTGTCTTTGTCTAAAGCGATGAGATTTCTTGCCTGATACACATAGCAGCGAAGGTGGTAACTATACACTTCTAAATAAAATAAATGGAGAGAGAGTTCAAATGTACTAGCAAGAATGATACAGGTGTAATTTCTTTAATTAAGCTATTTTCTATTAATAAAAATGCTTTCAAACAGATTCTTAACCAAAACATAAACAACAGTAGCAACTGTTAACTTGTTGCTTTATTGCAAATGTATCAATACACAAGTATGAGCAGGATAATACCAGAATACAGAAGCTGCTGTAACAATACTGCAGGAAATAGTTCAAGATACCTAACATAAAATCACATGGGGGCTATTCAGCCTGTGTCACATGCCAGATTCTAGAGACATGTTTAATAAAGCCCTAACAAATTACTCTACTTAAAAGAGCAGGGTAATTTGATGTAATCTTTCATCAGTCTCTCTTTAATTGTATCAAATTATTGGTCAGGACCATTAGATCCTGATTCTTAAGACATTCGGTCTGGACCATTCTTTCTAATTATAAAAGCAGAAGTAGCATTGGAAACTACACAATTCACCTGAAGTTATTTCTGAATACATTTTTGATTATTTTTAATTTCTTATTGGGTAGTACAGTTTATTATATTATTTTAGGACAAAGTCTGATTCTAATGACTTTATTGCAAGTTTTGCCATTACTTCTAAAGGGAACAGGAGCTTTTTAAAACTTTCTTAAACTTTCTTAAACTTATTAGAATAATTTAAAATAACAAAAGTTTTCTAAAAAATAATTTCCTTAGCTCAACCTCTAAAGGCTGGTGGTCAATATACACAGAAGTGTGACTTCTGTTCTTTTGTTTTGCTTTTTATGTTAGCTGTTAAATCCTGCTTGAAGCCCAAAAGGCAATTAAACAATCTGCAGTCCAAAGCTATGGTTTCCTTCGCTGACAGCTTCTGAAGAGTAAGTTAGCGACAAGAGAGGTAATTTCTCATTTTCTACTCCTACTGGGTTACAGCGGAATTTAGCAAAGTGCTCTTAGATTTACTTGTCCATAATTAAAAGCAAGGCAGAGGAGAAGACTAGGGGACACAAGCAGACTGTAATAAGAGTTTGTGTACAAGCAGGAAGAGACAGGCTGGGAAAAAAGCAGGTTTGGGTTTCTATCTGTATTAATTTTAAATTAGGGTTTGAGGTTACAATTGAAGCTCAAAATACAGCCTTTTGTCTTCAGATTAAACAATGCCAAATTAGGTTGGATTCTCTTATTTGGCTGTCAATGAAACATGCATTTAGTCCCTTTTAACAGGATAAAACAGCATGTGATAGCAAAATATGTTACATCTCAGGCGGCTGATGGTACCTAAGCCAGATTTGGGGTGTAACCAACACTTTAGGTACTATATCCAAGATCTAAATCCTCAAAATGCCTGCTCTGCTACCTCTTAGCCCTAAGTTTTCAAGGTAAATGTTTCATAAGGGCCTAAAGAACTGTTTCTAGGCATTCCTAGCAGTGACTCAATCTTGACTGGGCTGAGCGACCAGTTCTCCCACCTTCTCTGGATGCATTTTAAACAGAAAAGTTTTGGTACTTAACTCCAGGAGACAGTTCAGGTCTCTGAATCCCAATTTGAGAGAAATGCTACTTCCAACCAAAAATGAAGCCTCCAAGTCCCTAAAAGGGGTGGGATTTAACACACCTTTCTTCAGTCTACATTAACTTTAGTTCTCAATTCAGTGAGGCTTTTCTGAATCCTAATTGCAGGGATATAGTTTTCCTCATGCAGTGTTTAGGGAGTCTAAGCAGCTCATTTCAGTGCTGTAAATTGTATTCAGTTGCTCCAAACACAAAAATAGGCATGTCACAGTCAGTATTGTTAGCCATTGTGTACTTAGCCTTTTAAAGTAGCCATACAATCATGAGCAACTAGAAATGACTCAGCCTTTATGGTGTAATCCCCCTTGTTGCTCTTGGTCCTGGAAACCTAAATACTTATATCAATTTTTGTGTTAGTAGAATTTGTGGTTCAATAGACAAGTATCCTAATCAGTATTATGCAATATTTGTCACATAGTTGCTGCTCTAGGTCCCAATAAGTGATTAGTCCACTATTATGTTAGGAGCTGGACAAACATATGATGGTTACATTATACAGACTCCCCCAAAAGATTTATATCATGGATAGTGATCATATACAAAAAGTGGATGAAACAAGCAAAATGCTGGGTATTGATGGAGGAGGATGATATAAAAGCAGGAACATGTTTTCATGTTGATTAGTTGTGTGTACAGCACGGCACATCACTCCACTACTGATTATCACCAGTCACTGATGCATCAGCATCAGAGAAGTGTCTAAGAAGAGAACTGTTAAAAACTTACTGTCAAAAGTGCAGGAAACAATCGGAGTGTTGGCCCCAAATACCCTGGTAGCACTGTCTTTGGCCTTGTCTGAGCTCTTTCCTTCTCCATCTTCAGTACTTGTGTCTGCTCCCTAAAATTATGAACAAAACCAAACTGACTGAATATTTACATAAGTATACCATACCTGACCTTTGCATAAGTGGATTTTTTTTTAATATACAGCGGGCTTTGCTCATTCATGCTCAGATGAGGGCAGGTGCAAATTACATATCCATGAACAAATGGGGCCTCCCATACCCCACAGGCAGTTCACTCTTAGGCAAAGACCTTTTTCATTTAGAAGCGTATAGAATCATAGAAAATGAGGGTGGGAGGGACCTTAGGAAGTCATCTAGTCCAACATCCTGTTCAAAGCAGGACCAGCCACAACTGGATAATTCCAGCCAGGGCTTTGTCAAACTGGGCCTTAAAAACCTCCAAAGGTAGAGATTCTACCATCTCTCTAGGTAACTTGTTCCAGTGCTTCCCCACCCTCCTAGTGAGAATGTTTTTTCTAATATCCAAACTGAACCTCCCTTGCTGCAACTTGAGACCATTCTCCTTGTTTTGTCATCTGTCATCACTTAGAACAGTCTAGCTCCATCCACTTTGGAACCACCCTGCAGGTAGTTAAGGCTGCTATCAAATCCCCTCTTGGCCTTTTCTTCTCCAAACTAAATAAACCAAGTCCCCTCAGCTTCTCCTCATAAGTCATGTATCCCAGGCCCCAAACCATTTTTGTCACCCCCTGCTGGACTCTCTCCAACTTGTCTACATCCTTTCCATAGTGGGGGCCCCAAAACCGGACACAGTACTCCAGACGCGGCCTCAGCAGTGCAGAATAGAGCAGAATAATTACTTCCCTTGATCTGCTGGCAATGCTCCCATTAATGCAGCTGTTAGCCTTCTTGGCAATAAGGACACACTGCTGACTCATATCCAGCTTATTGTCCAGTGTAACCCTCTTGTCCTTTTCTGTAGAGGTGCTGCTTAGCCAGTCAGTTCCCAGGCTGTAGCAGTACATTGGATTCTTCCGTCCTAAGTGCAGGACTTTGCACTTGTCCTTGTAGAACCTCAGATTTCTTTTGCCCCAATCCTCCAATTTGTCTAGGTCACTCTGAATCCTATCCCCACTCTCCAGTATATCTACTATACCCCCCAGCTTGGAGTCATTCACGAACTTGCTGAGGGTGCAATCCATCCCATCTTCCAAATCGTTAATGAAGATATTAAACAAAACTGGCCCCAGAACTGACCCTTGGGGCACTCCACTTGATAATGGTTGCCAGCTAGACATTGAGCCATTGATTACTACCCATTAAGCCTTACAAGCCAGCCAACTTTCTATCCACCTTACAGTGCATTCATCCAACCCATATTTCCTCAGCTTGCTTGCAAGAATGCTGTGGGAGGCGGTATCAAAAGCCTTGCTAAAGTCAAGGTATACTATGTCCACTGCTTTCTCCACATCCACAGAACCAGTTATCTCATCAAAGAACGCAATCAGGTTGGTCAGGCATGACTTGCGCTTGGTGTATCCATGCCGACAGTGCCCTCGGTGAATCCATCCAGTCACCTTCTTCTCTTCCAAGTGCTTAGAAAAGGATTATTTGAGGATCTGCTCCATGATTTTTCCAGGGACTGAGGTGAGACTAACTGATCTATAGTTCTCTGGATCCTCCTTCTTCCCTTTCTTAAAGATGGGCACTATATTTGCCCTTTTCCAATCATCCAGGACCACCCCCAATTGCCACTAGTTTTCAAAGATAATAGCCAGCAGCTCTGTGACCACATCACCGAACTCACTCAGTACCCTCAGATGCATTACATCTAGCCCCATGGACTTGTACACATCCAGCTTTTCTAAATAGTCCCTAGCCTGTTCTTTTACTAGTGAGGGCTTCTAAACTCTTCCCCAAATTGTGCTGCCCAGTGCAGTAGTGTGGGAGCTGACCTTGCCTGTGAAGACTGAGGTAAAAAAGGCATTGAGTATTTCAGCCTTTTTCACATCATCTGTTACTAAGTTGCTTCCCTCACTCAGTAAGGGACCCAAACTTTACCGGACCTTCCCCTTGTTGCTAACATACTTGTAGAAACCCTTCTTGTTACCCTTCATGTCCCTTGCTAGCTGCAACTCCAACTGTGCTTTGGCCTTCCTGACTTCATGCCTGCATGCCTGAGCAATATTCCTATACTCCTCCCAAGTTGTTTGTCCAAGCTACTACTTTTTGTTTTCCTTTTCGTGTTTAAGCTCATTGAAGAGTTCTCTGCTAAGCCAAGCTGGTCGCTTGCTACATTTGCTATTCTTCCTGCACATCAGGATGGTTTGTTCCTGTGCCCTCAGTAAGGTTTCCTTAAAATCTGTATGTATCTGTACCTGTATCTTTATGCAGTAACTGAAGCACAATATAGAGATCAACTTTGGACATTTCCTCCTGCTGGTCAGCACTGCCAATTCCTAGGGATACACTGGCCACCTACAGTAGGAGAGGGCACAGGCACTCTACACTGCCCAGCAGCTGGTAGAGAACCATTCCATTGCTGGGAGCTGTACCCCACAAGTTACAGTGGCAAAATCCCCAATATATATAAAATTCAAGATAGGGTAATCTTAATAGAGGATTTTCTAAACCCCATGGAGATCTGGACCAAGGAATGTGGAGAAAAGAAAATTGGTGTAACTGGATGCCTGTTGGTATTTTCTATCCTGTGATGTAAAACAAGAACATAGAACCAATTTCACTGGGGGGAGGGGGGAGGCAGAATTTCTCTTGTATGATGCCAGTACCTATTCAGTGTTCAATAGCCTAGTAAAATGCTCATAATACTAGATGTCTTATACTACTCCCTCCTATAATACTCCATTGTATATACAAGGTTTATCCATTAAAGATTATTTTCTTTAATGCATCTTTGGAGTATTTAAATCCTAATAATCTACTAGTGGTAATCAAAATGTATTTTCTATTATCTCAGATACTGTACTAGTCCTCTAGAAGTTCAATCACCTGGACATAAAGATATCCAACAGAGGCAACTATTTCAATAACTGTACATGCCTACTGCTGCCACAATTACTTTTTATACATTTGAGTTATACCCTTGATCTTGAGTTATACCCTATTATAACCACAATATCCTCTTCATTTTACTTTGGCAGCAATGTAGCTCATGTCATAATTCAGCCTCCTGCTGCTACATCTCATAAAATAGACTAACAGAAAATAATTCTAAGAGTCAAATAATACAAACGTTAGGTGGATAGCTAACTGATTATGATTCCTTTATGGCCTTAAAAGCTCTGAAATATAGGGAATTACATTGCAATTCAATGATTAAAGGAATAAAATGTCTCATAAAGTTTCTTTTGTATTTAGTGTGCACTTAAATATTCCACTTTTAAAACTTTTTTTCTGTTTTGATATTTACCAGAGCACCTTCAAGTTTGAAGATACCTGCTGAACCATGAGTCTCTGAAGGAGCCATTTTTCTCCTCCAGCGTCTACGACGGAAAGTATCAGAACTGCGTTGTTTCCAGTGAAATTTCCAGCCAATCAAAGATGCATACTCCCATCCTTCTTGATCTTCATAGGACACTGCTCCCTACAAAACAATCAGAAATATAAGTCCTTCATACGATGCTTCTACATAAAAAGTCTGCAATTATTATTGCAGAAATAATCCACCCTTTCTACAATGATAACTAAACATTAATCTATAACAGAAAATGGAAACTGAATATCTAAAACAAGGAAAGGTAATTTTAAATTCTTCTTCAGGTTTATAACAGGATGTTGTTCTACAATGAGCATACTATAAGCATCCATACTATTTGCTTAACAAAACATGCATCTCTAAAACCTTTTTATTACATTAAGAAATAAAACCTTTGACAACAGTTCCCAGCAGCTCAGCTTACCCTTGCTGCTGCTGCTTGGTTTGGATCCTTCTTGCGTTTTCGCACTAGTCTTCGCCGTCTGTGAGTATGATACATTTTTTCAGCAGCAACCCAAGACTTTGGCTTACTGTCTGGAGGAATAGTAATTCCATATTCCCATCCTAAAACAGGAATTATAATTAGAATCTTTCAGAGGAACAGAGAAGCTTGGGGAATCCAAGTTACAGCAGCTGTATGGATAGTGACATTGCACTGGATAAAAAATGAACTCAAAAGAAACTTGATTCATCACTGTCAAACCTAAACACAGGTCAGTCCTGCCCCCCACCCATGATCCTGTCTAAAAAGTTATGACATTAAAATGTAATACATTTTGTGTCCTTTTTATTTATTTCTGATTTTTGAGATGCTAGAGTGCATTGGACGCACTTTTCCATGCTTTCTCCATAACTGTAAAGACTAGAAACATGCTTTTTAGAAAAGCTGACTCCCTCCTGTACTCATATGACCCAGGAACTTGCTTTTTCAGTAAAAGACCAATTATTGTAAAACTCTCCATGAACTAGCTAGAAATGGAAAAGCTGCTATTTGTGATGGCTCTATGATTTTGGAATTTAACTGCCAGATTCCTAGGGCCCAAACTTCCGTGTAGTCTGATTTTCTTTCATGAAAAGCATTGTGGACTTATGCCTTGAGTTTCAGATAGTAATACTTTTTTAAAAATTCCAGGGAACAAATGGCTGTTTAGCATCATTTAAATCCACCTATTTTGTAACTATTGCCCACTAAGAATGCTGATACTGTAATGAGTCAAAGCAGGGTAAAAAGAAATAGATGTAAATGCATGGAGGATATGTGTATCTTGAGAGCATGGTCAGACCCTCTTATTTCAAGCCATAACTTCCCCAGGGGGAAACAGTCAACTGTTATTTTATATGTTTTATATTTTAGAGATGAATGGGAGCTTTGCTTTAGTTGTGATTGCAGGATCATGATTTTGGAGTGGAAGGTGATATGTTGTCCTTTAAGACTATTGCACTCTCTGTTATTCAAAATGACACCCTCAAATTAAGTAGCTTTCAGGCAAACCTTCAAAAAATGAAAAATAAATACACCCACATTTCTACTTGGAAATGGGAATATTAGTGTGATTTTACTGGATACAATAACACACACAAAGAGTCCTCTAGGCACTGTATTTTACTCAATAACAACCTCCATCACCATCAGCAGCAGCATTTGATGATGGTGTCCAGAGGCCCCTCTGACGATCAAGACCTCACTGTGCTTAGTGCTTTACAAACATCCAAGAAAATTGGTTCCTGCTCCAAAGAAATTGCAATCTACTTAAAATATAAGAGTTAGAAGCTTGTTGTTTAGCATTGAATTCCAAAACTGAGGGCCCCAAATCATATTACAGTCCTTAAAAACTCTCTAAAAATCTACACCCACAAATATTAGATCAGTCTAGAAATAAGAATAATTATCAACAAATATTTATTAACTTGCTCCCTGTTATTTATATTCCAAAATACTGTAGTGAGACGAAAAAGTCAGTGGAAAGTTTTGGAACACATTTTTTTTTAATATACTGTGAACAGTTAGTTCCAATAATCTGTCTATAAAGAGACAAGCTTTACCATTCTCATCCACTGCTCGATTTAAATCAGGTGCCCAGCCATCTTCTTCCCAGATCCACCCAGAGGGACAGGTTAATTCACGAGGTGGTGCAGCTTTTTCTCCATTCTTTCAAATAGAAAGAAGCAAAGATTATTATGTCTGCAAATACATAACATTTGAGTTGCAATATAACCCATATTGCAAGGCTAGAGAGGAAGTTGATGCAATAGTTCACACCATCATCTTTGCTTTCAGATCAGGAAGAAGCTAATTTTTTTGTAATATATACTTAGCACAGTTCATTCATAACTTATGCTTTGGAATGCTTATATTTTGCTGAAGTCAACATTCAGTTTTAGACATTTCAAAAACCCTTGAGGCAGGAAACTGGGAAAATTAGAAGTAAAAATTACTGACAGCACTTGTTCTCTCAATAATACATTTATCAAATGAAAAATATTAATTTGTAAGAGTCTTACCACATCTGTGTAACTCTCCTCAGGTGGTTTCCATTCTCCTCCCGGGTAGCGACTCTCATTTTCATACACTTCATCAGTGAATTCAGTATGACCAGCATCAGCTTCAGTCAGCAAGCTGTGAAATCCAAAGTGTTACTAAACATTTTAATTAAATATGGTCACTAAAAATAGAAGCATTATCCAGTATATGCATGTGCAGTGGCATACATACATACATAGAAAAACACTGTCCCCTACTGGACAGAAATCAAAACTACTCATCTATGTGCCAGAAGTCCTTTTTTGCTAACAGATTAAGTTTCTCCTCCAAGTGTAGTAAGTAGTAGGAGTCAATGCATGTAGACACCAAAGATTTGACTTCTATTATGCTACAACCGGAGGTTCCAAACACCTAAGGTGCTCAAGATAGGCTTAGCTGTATCAGATTTACTTTTCCATAATTTCTTACTACCACTGCTTCTTGAACAGCTCCCTTAGTGGCAGCAACTATGGAAATGTTGAAAACATCAACAGAGAGAAAGAGCAAATGAGCATCTGTGCTTTAACCAGTGTGATATCCAGACCTATTCTGAACACCTGAACTCTAAAAAAGTATTTATTTAAGTATATAAAATACTGATGTATATCATAAACATATATGCAATTAAAACAAGTATCTTTGGTCACATGGTGTTTTTCTTTTGTGCTTTCTGCTAGCCTACAGGCAATCAATTATTCTGTATATTGAAGGTATATTTCAAGTCTATTTTGTCCATTTTATATTGCAGTGTGTATATAGCCAGGGCATTGTTACAGCTGAAAGAGTGAACAGCTATAAAGTAAAAAAACCCTAGCATTTCTTTGAAGACTATGCATGAGTTACAGAAAACTATACAATTACATAGGATAAAGAGGTTGAGACAACTAAATGGGCCACCAACTAATTCTTTTGTCATCTTTGAGTATTTTATTTTTAAATTGTCAACTCAAGACTGGAAAGGTTACTATCATATGAGACAAAATACATTTCACTAAATTCCATCCTCCGTTTGTTTAATAAGGCATTCGAAAACATTACAGGGGTGTAGGTTGTAGCTGTGTTGGTCTAAGGATATAGGCAGACAAGGTTCTTTGGGTGAATCTGATATCTTTTATTAGACCAACTTAAATAGTTGGAGAACAATTTTAAAGCAAGCTTTTGGGTTCAAAAACCCTTCGTCAGTCTAAGGAAGTTCCAGCAGTTGGTGTGTGCTCTTCCTGGATGGAATGAAAAGTAAAGAAGCCAGGGGCTGGGCTGCTATGCATACAAGACAGGCAGTCAGTGAAAATGTAGATTGAGGAGTCAATGGGTGAGAGACAGGCTGGGGGGGAAGAGAAGGGGGATGAATAGTGGGGAGATACCTGGGGAGTCAGATGTCAGGCAGGTTATAATGTGTCATAAATCCAATGTCTATATTTAGTCCATGATTTTTAGTGTCCAGGAGGTTGATGAAGTGGAGTTCATAGGCTCGTCTCTGGGAAGTGTTTTGTAAGCTTCCTATGAGGATCAGGACTGAGAGATTGGAGAGAGAGTGGTTTTCTTGTGAGAAATGTGCCCCCACAGGTAATTGGGTATTCCTGTCTTTGATAGATTTCCAGGTTGCATTCATTCTGGTGCACAGTTGTTGTTTGGTCTCTCCTACGTATTTTCCATCAGGGCATTTGGTGCATTGGATGAGATATATTTCTGGAGGTGCAGTTTTAAGATCCGGGGATGCTGATGGCTCTGTTGTGGGGTGTAGTAATAGTGGGGGTGGTGGAGATGTGTTGGCAGGTTTTGCATTTCTTGTCATGGCATGGTCTGGATCCATTCGGTGTGTTCTGGGCTTGAGGAAGTTTGCTTCTGGTGATGAGGTTGGCGAGGTTTGGTGCTTGTTTTGAAAACTAGGATGGGTGGCTCTGGCAAACTTCCTCAGGCCCAGAACACACCAGGTACTTCTCCACTATTCATCCCCCTTCTCTCCCCCCACCACCCAGTCTGTCTCTCACCCACTAACTCTTCAATCTACATTTTCACTGGCTGCCTGTCTTGTATGCATGCCAGCCCAGCCGCTGGCTTCTTTACTTTTCATTCCATCCAGGAAGAGCACACACCAACTGCTGAAACTTCCTTAACCTGACGAAGGGTTTTTGAACCTGAAAGCTTGCTTAAAATTGTTCTCCAGCTATTTAAGTTGGTCTAATAAAAGATATCAGATTCACCCAAAGAACCTTGTCTGCCTTAGAAAACATTGAAACCTGTTTTGAAATGCCATCTACTGGCCAAATGAAGTTGTACAGATTATTTCCTGTCTGGTAACAGAGCTGTAAATGCATTTGTTTACATATATTTAACTGATGGTTTTTAATTAATCAGCCTAAATGTCACCTTATGAATATTTCTGCTTTCCTACATCATATTTTCATTAACTGAAAATAACCCTCTTAAAATCAATCTATCCATGCAAAAATTTAATCAATATATTTTAAAATGGACCCAATAGTATCTTCCTGTGAAAATAACTGATTGACAGTGCTTCTTGCTACCACAACATTAGGGGAAAAAACAAACAAGGGTGAACTTTTGGCCCCCGTGAAATCACTGGGAGTCTTCCCTTTGACTTAACTGAACCAAGATTTCATCATAGTTCTATGACAGCTCAGTTCATTTTATCACTCTGTATGTGAATATGCCCAGTTGTTAGGCTACATGCCATATAAAACTCTTAAAGTTCAGAATGAATCTAGAGCAGATTTCTGGTCTGGACCCAATCAAGGATTATAAATTATCCTGAGTGCCAGTCTCAAGGTGTTGCTACAAGTTATTTTTCAGATGTGTTAAGGGCTTTTAAAATGAGTGTCTGTACATTAGGACAAGAAACTATGAGGTAAGTGTTCTCCAAGCATAGAGAGAATCATCTTCCGTTGAGGATTATCTCTAACTCTTGTTGCACAGCTCATGTTACAGTCCCCCTAGACTGCTCCACAGGGCCAAGGTGAGTGGGAAGCAGTCTGCCAGCAGCCCAGGAGGCACCACTTCAAGACATCCCCAGATGGACACTATCTCCCCCCAGAGTGACAACAGGGAGAGCCCTAAAGGAATTTCAATCCCCTTTCTGTTCTGCTCCCATTTGGGGCTCCCCCCACCACCATTTTGAAGCACAGGATGCTGAATACACATGATGCTGTGGGCGCTTTAATTAGAGCGGTTCTGAGAGCAGCTCTAATTAAAGCACCCCCTGCTCCACCCCAGAGCATGTGTATAGATGCCCCAGTGAAACTGGGATCCTGATACTTCACTACTTCACATAGGACTTGAGGATAATTGTCAGGATGCATTACATACTGTAATGTGGCTCAGATATTTCAGAGGTAAGTGTCCTCTGAGCATTTCAGAGAGAATCATCTTCCAGTTAGGATTATCTCTAACTCATCTTGGCCAGCTCATGATGCAGTCCCCTTAGACTGCTCAGAGGACACTTTCCCCTGAGAGCCGCTCTAATTAAAGCACCTCCCCCTCCCACCCAAAGCATGTGTATAGATGCCCCAGGAGTCTAAGTGACTTGGTCCCTGGGAATTGAAGAACTGAATCCAGTGTTCTCAAATCCCAATTTATTTGTCTAATCACTGGAAGCCTTTCTACAGTTTCATGATGGGCCCATCTACCTTTTACTAAGACCAATGATGTTTTTATAGTTGTTAAATAAATTTGGCCGTTGGGCTAACTTACTTTCATAAAAAACTCATTCAGAACTGTTTAAAAGCTTTCCAATCACACTTTACTCTTAAAAAACAAAGTCTGGGTTTATTCTGTACATTCTGAAATTAAATAAGTGATTAAACTAACTAAGAAACACTGCACATTTATGTCTAATGATATAGAAATAAAAAAATCTGACCTCCTTTCTGGATCAACTGTCCAGTCTCCTTCCCACTCCCAGCCTTTTGGGGGCAGAAAGTACTCTCTTTTTAATTTGATTTTTCCTGTGACATCAGAAAACTTGTGACGACCAACAAGTCCAGAGGTTCCCCATTTTCCAAACATAAATGCCTGATTTTCATACTGTTTGAGGGGAAAAAAAGAGCACTTTGGAGTCCAAAAACCATTTTTAAGGAAACAGAAAGGCATATTTATGTTGCTATAAACATTCTATAATACCTAAATCAAAGGGTCTACTTACCAGACAGAAAGGTTGTATAAGTTACCTTAAAAACACTGGTGCATTACATAAGCACAAATGCAGCATGGTTACTTACCAAATTTGACCATGTTCAAATGCGAGGAGGGAGGCCAGTTAGACAAAATACTTGTTTTTTCAAACAAACTCTATTTCATATCTTTGTCATTACTAAGTTCCAAAGTGAGGTGTGGTATAACATTAGCAGCATCAAAAAGTATATGAAAAGGTTTGCTCCTTGCACCTATAGTAATAATTTTCATGTAACTAGCAGCATCCTGGTGATGACTAAGGATTAGTCTTAGTAAAACTATTAGATGGTCATAATTAGATCTCCAGATGGAGCAAGGCATGTGTTATCTCCTCTTACACCTGCTGCCCCTGCCACATTTCTGCTCCACATCTAATCTGCCAGTAGCAATGACTTCAGTGTCCCTTAATTCCTTAGTGTCATTTCTTTGTCTTCTTTCATGTTGCACCATAACCAGTGGTGTAACAAGCCAATATAGTGCCTGGGGAAAACTCTGCAGGATAGTGAAGGGTGGGGAGAAGTGGTTCCAAGAGTCGGGAGAGTAGGGGTGCAGGTTCTGCAACATGGGGATGGGGGATACCCGGATTCTGAGAACGGGGGCTGGGAGGAGTGGGTTCTGAGAGTGGGAACACAGGTTCTGAGAGGTGGGGGGAGAGGCGGGGGGCCAGGGGAGGAGGCACAGTGGCATGTCATGTCAATCTTAATGACACTACACAGGGGTACGGGGGTAGATTCCAGCACCTCTTCTGGCTTCGGTCCTGGGGCAGGCGCCCCTCTCACCCACCCCTACTTACACTACTGTCCATAAGCAGCTGTGAGTCTACACTCAAACCATATCCTCTCCTCATTTAAACCCTCTGCTACAAATGTACTGCTTCTATGCAGCCTCTAAACAAGAGCTTTAACTTTTTGGTAAGCAAATTTCCACTGAACTCTGGTTATGAAAACCAGTTGTGCCATAATGAAGAGCTGTATGTTTCTATTAACTTGTACTTTTCCACTTCAAACCGCCCTCCCCCCTTGTTGTTACTAGCTCATGTTAAAATGGCAACAGAGAAAATTAGACTGAAAGCTCATCAGAGCAGCTACCATAAGCCTTTTGCTGATCTTAGACCAGTTTTACGCTAGTTGATAGAATTACTCCTGATTTACATTGTTTTTTATTAAATCAGATTCTGGCCCTGTTCTCCCTTCTAGCCTTCCGCTTTGTCCTGTAATATTCCCAGAAGCATTTCAGATTACTGCATAAAAAGTTAAAATAGTAATGCATCTCTCATCTTGTCAGATTTTAGATTTAAGAAATCATGGATTGTAAAATGTATTTTAAAATAGACTTTACAACAACGTTTTTCTTACCACCATGTCACCTAATTGTACAAGTCATGGTGACGAAGGATGCTGTAATGATGTCATGTTAGCAGCATTTTAGTGATCATATTGACTTTGGATCCAGTACTAATGTACCCATTTATTATTAGCTGAAGCATGTAAAAACGGTATGAGGCTTATAATCAACAAAATGATACAATTTATCCCTAGATTAGTTTAGATCAGTGGTTCTCAACCTTTTTAGACTTGAGGCACTCTTTGTTAGACTTGAGGCACCCTTGGAAAATGCCAGCTTCTAGTTTTCACTCCTTTTTCAACAACAGAAAAATAATAAAGTAATTGTTCTGTTGCAAAGGCCATAGGAATATTACAACAGGGCAGAGTTGTTTTAACACTGTGGGTTCCTATTTGAAATCTCTGGGCTTGTCTTGTGAATCATGTTTGTACATCTAACAGTGCAAACATTGTGTGGCATCACTGGTCTAGATTCTTCTGCTATTACGGTCTGTAGGAACACAGCAAGATGCAGAGGCTACTTTAACCAGTTTCCACCTAATTCTCACCAATCACCATCCTGTTACATATGGTAACTCTTAACACTGGAATATTACTATAAGTTCCCTTGCCAGTGGAATTTGCTGTATTCCCCCAGTATTTCCTCTATTTTTTCATTCAGTGAATCAAACTGATTAGATTAACCATTACTAAACAAAGCAGTCTACATTGATAAATCCGCTGTTCAGATACAAAGTCAGTCAAATAACGGTTCTTGATACACTCACACATTCTAATTAAGATTCTAATCTTAGATACACTAATATAAATATAAATTAACTGTACAGCTGTCACTGGAGTACTACAGATTTCTACCTGTCTAATCAAATCAGTAGCTGGCCTTTTGAAGTTGTTAAAATCATCATTTGGCAGACACAGCTGACTTTTTCTTCACTGTCTTGTATGTTGTCTTCGGAAAAATTACTATAATGCTCCCTTTTTGCCAGGGCCTTCTGTCATCATTTTAGTATAGGTCTGGAATAAATGGTGTTTCTTGTAAGAGAATAATGCATTCAGTGTTACTGAACATACCATTTCTGCAAATACACTAAATGTGCCTTCTGCAAAGCTATTAAATTTCTTCTCAACTGCAGTCAACCCAAGCCATATGTTAACTCGCAACTCCACTGGAATTTTGACATCTTTGGTCTTGTCCTGTGGATACTGAAGTATATAAACAGGATAGTTATACAATAATTTTAAGTTTGATACAATGCGCTCAATGATAACAATGATACAATGATAACAGCTCAGGCATATAGACATGCATACAGAAATAATATATAGTTTGCTCATAGATTCATTTCTTTTTTAGTTTTTGCTTCACATTGCCTCTGGCAGCAGAACCCCTGTAGTTTGGCAACAGCGAAGGAGTTTAATACTGCCAGAAAATATCATATAAGAATACCATCTTGTAGAGCCAAACACATTAAAACTGTTTCTCAATCCTTTCCTGTATTTCCTTTCCCAGGTCTGATACACTAATGATTTTAAGAACAATTATAACTTAAGAATTCAGTTTTGATATTCATGTTTCTTTTGTCACAGGAAACTTGAAATACAAAACTTGGAATGTTCCACTCAAGCAAGATCTATATACAATATAAAAATGGTTGGACACAAAAATGTTAAGGTTTAGGCCTTGTCTGTGTAGTAATATTATACCAATCTAATTATACTGTTTTAGCTATACATATATAACCCTCATGTAGACACTCATATTGTAGAGTAAGAGTCCCTTTTTCTGGTTCAGTTAATTCCATGTATAAAGCAACAAATGTAACTAGGAAAAGGAAGTCTTATTCAATTATAAGGGCACGGACCTATGAAACATTTACCATGGAGTAAAAAGGAGTTTTACAGTATGTCAGCTGCTTCATGGTAAGTGACAGTGTACCTCTTTTTATCCCTTTTTACCCCACAGAAAGAAGCAACTAACCAGTAGTAACTAACTCCTCTTTCATTGAGGGCTAAGCTGTTGTGACTTACCTATACTTACCCCAAGAGCATACTGGCACAGTAGCCTATTTTCCTGCACATTAGAGCATCATGGCAAAAACCACGCTAATGTGCAGTAAAATTAGGCTACTGTGAATTAAGCATCACTAAGCATGCACTTTTGCTACTTAGCATTAATGCACATTTAATCAGTACCTCACATAAGAGGTACTAAATTTAATGCACCGTAGCAAAAACGCACTAATGAGTGTGTAGACACACCCAGTGAAGCCCTATTCTGTTTTACTACACAGTAAGTTTCCCATATGTCCATGCTCTAAAAATGTTCAAATGAGGTGTTATACTAGTATAATTACAGCAGTATAATTAATCTGATACTGCTAAATTAGGGAATCCCCTTGTTTAATTTAGGTTTGGATTGACAGCTAAAATTTTGAAAATTTATCTGACATTTCTCTGAATTATTCAAATTCTTCACCAGTGACAGATCCCTCCTTTGCTAAGGACAGAAGTTACACATAAACTGGTTTAAGTGATCAGAAACTGGTTTAAACTTGTAACAGAACAGAAGCTCAGTGCAGATAAACCAGTTTCAAAATGGCTGAAACCAGTTTAAGATAAACCTGGTTAAATGTAGTATCAGACTTAACTGATTTGGCTCAAACTGGTTTATGGAACTTCTGTCCCAGACCCCTTTCTGGTTTAAGTTAAATCACAGTCCCCCAGCATCCCAGCATGCTTTCCTGCCCTGGGATGGGCTGTGCTGTCTGCTCCAGAGAGTAGGGCTGGCCCCGCCACTCTAGTTGGAGCAGTGAGGGCTGGTTGACAACGGGGTGGAGGGGGGGCAAGACCGTACCCTCCAGGCAAACCAAGGCTGGGGGCTGGGGCCAGGGTGGGGGGTGTTAAACACCTCTTTCCCCACTCAGATTTACTGCTGGCTGCAACTGTGGACTACAAATCCCAGAGGCACCTGGAAGCAGGAAGAGGAAGTGATAAGCAACCCTGCAGAGTCCTGCTGCTGTAACTATGGACTACAAATCCCAGAGACCTCAGTGGCAGCAGGAAGAGGAAGTGAACACACAGCCAGAGAGCCATGCTCTAGCCTTCCTGGCTGCTGGCCTGTGCCACTGCAGGCATGTGGCTGCATTTCCTGAATCAAAGGTAAATGCCTATTCACTTCCATTTCAATTTAATATGTGCAACTTAGACTAACCTGCAAAGACTGAATCGATTCAGCCTGAGGCTTTTTGACTGTCTGTATCTCTCAGCAGCACTAACCCAGCAGTGGCTGAATATTTGGCTCAGAATACTGAGCTCTCTGATATGCATTTGAGCCCAAGGACCAGAAGTTCATTCTGATTCTGGTTTACAACGATTATGATTTGTATGCTGTTTTGAACAAAGTAGATGCAGCTTCATTCTTTGTGCCTGACACCTTCTATCAGAACCTTGTCACCCCATCAGTCTAGAGTTTTACACACTTTTTATGGTGCTGTTTGACTGTACCATATGTCCTGCCAGCAATTTGAGCTGCTGTCACCTACTCAGGAGTTATTCTACCTCATTCTATTGTAAGTTACACTAGAAATACCTTTCCTCCATGTTATAGAATAAAAGATACAGTAGGTCTCTATGTACCTTTATGGATGTACATGTGCCTTTCATAGATTTAACTTCACATAAATAAGAGAGAAAGTTCTGGTATGAACAAAAGTAACACATTTCTTTAAAGCCAGAATTTAGGCTAATCTTTTGGTGGTCTAAATTCTATTTTGATTTAGTTGGCTATGCCATTTAGACCTAGTGGCCATTTAGATGACCTAATCATAATAGAATGTCAGCCATAGTATTTAAAATTGCACAAAAGTATTATCAAGATACCTTTAAAAAGATGGTTTGGGTCTTTCCACAGTGTTTACCAGAAGATTCAGGACTTGTGGTAGAATACAAAACCTGGTGTGCGGGAATGCGGGCATAGGCAAGTCTCTTCTCCCCTCGAATCATCCAGATGATTACATCAGGCATGCTGTTTTGTGACTTTTTTTAAAGGAAAAGTAAAAAGTTGAGTAATTAATAGGATGTAAATGAATCTAACGCTTAGAAAGCAAAACAAGAACCAGGGATCTTTTAGTGATTTATCACTTAAGATAAAAATAACTATGGATCTGTGTTGCTAATATAGGGGAGGGAAATGGATTTCTTTTGCAAATAATTAAATGTCATATTATTCTGAAAAGTTTAATGCAAACACCAAGCAGGTTTCTGGAAAGTAAAATAAGTCTTATAAAAGGACTGAAAAAGAAGCTGCAGGTTTTCTAAAACCACACAAGAATGTAAGAAGTGCCATACTGGGTCTGACCAATAGTCTATCTCAGGAGTGCTCAACCTCCAGCCCACAGACCAAGTGAAGCCTGTGGAGCCTTCTCATCTGGGCCACAGGGATCCCAATGGGTCTGGAAATTTAGCAGTGGGAGGGAAGTGGCTATTAATACAGCCACACTCCCCCATGCCAAATTTCCAAACCACATGCCTGTACGTGTCCCTTTCTCGTGCCTTACCCCTTCACACCCCCACCCACTCCCTGCTTCTGGTTTAGGGCTGGGCCATGCCCCTCCTGCAGGGCTGGGTTAGGGCTGGACCATGCTGCCTTGTTACCCCTCTGCCCGCACAAGATCAGATCTAGCTCCTTTCCCCTATAGGGACACACTGGGGCTGGCCTGCCCCCTGCACCTCTAGGCACAGCTGGGTGGTGCCCACCATGCTTGTCCCATGGGGCAGATTGGGACCACTGGTTAGATCTGGCCTGTAGATGGACTGGGCACTACCCATCCAGCCTACCAAGCAAAAAGGTTGGGTACTGCTTGTCTATCATCTAGCTCAGTATCCTGTCTCCAACAGTGGCAGAAATGGAAGCTCTAGAGGAAGAGCTTTGAACTGGATATCTCTAGTGTGATCTGTCCATTATTCAATACTCTTCCTTGCATCCACCATTTAATGGTTTAAAGATACCAGAGGAAACATCTCCAACCATTCTGTTCAATAGCCATTGTGGGCACATCCACATGAGCACGCATGTGCCTTTTGCCCCGCCTCAAACCCCTTTATGTAAATTAGAAGTCCGTGGTTCTTTCCTGCTGTTTTTGCTGAAGCATAAGTCACGATAAAGCCAATTGCAATTAAAGCATATTTATATACATTTGACAGACCTTTTGATCTTTATACAGTTTTCTTTTGACTTGTATGAAGATACAAACTATTGAAACTGCTGCAGGTGTCTTGGTTGTTTTGCTGAAATCAAATATTTTTAAATTAATTTTATATACTTTCAAGTACCAACCTCTTCACTTAGCTGCACTAATTTATCCAACCAATCTTCAATTTCTGGTAAAGTGACCTTCATATCTGTAGCTTCAAGTCTCATCCTCGTTGCTGCCTCTTGAATTTGTTTGAGAGATCTGAGGCGTAGTTTTTGGATCTGTGTGTCAAGAATTGTGACATTGGATTTACCTTCTATGAGGGGGAATGGTTTACTGAAAGAAAGAATCAAAGCATTTATTAGTGATAAAAACCTTTCCCTTTTAACATCTAATTGCATTAAACAATGTTTTGAGGTGCATATTTAGGCACTCCTATGAGGAAATAATTAGACGGACTCTAAGCCTTTCATTGCAATTACAATCTGACCTAAATCCAGAGTGTGGGTACAGAATCCAATTCTGCAGACACTTCCTATTTGGTGTAGTGCTCACAACAATGTTTAAGCCCTGAGGACAGGTGTTTACTATAATAAACCCAAAGTAAAACACTTGAAGATAAATGAACACTAGGGCTGTGAGAAGCTTCGGTCCCTGATTCAATTCGACGGAGATTCAGCCTGATTCAATGGCCGAATCCGAATCAAATCAGAGAACCCTCTAATCTCTCCAAATTGAATTGGAACCCTCTGGCCCCCTTCAAGCCCTGGTGCTGCTGTGTGCCGTTTGCTGGAGCTCTGCCCACTCCACAGTGCAGCCCCGCACCCTCCCCCACCAGGAAGAGGCTCCTGCTCCCCGACACCATGACAGGGGCTGCTGCTGCCATCAAGAACCCTGCCCCTTCACTGCTGCAGCAGGGCTGGGCCACAGCCAGATGCTAGCCAGTAGGAGCCCTTAGGTGGGGGGCAGGGAGGGGGGTTATTCTCCCATCCCTCCGGTGCCCAGCAGAAGGCACACTAGGGGGGTTTATTCTGCTGCTTGCCCCAAGCAGGGAGCAAGCAGTGGTGGTGGCAGTCAGGGCTTGCAGGACCCAGCTGTGGTCCCCTGGGGGCACTGGGGGTGCAGGGGGGAATATCCCCCCTCCTTGCCCCCTCTGCCTCAGGAACCATGCCAGCACCTAGCCCCACTGCTGCAGCAGCGAGGGGGGAGCACCCGGCAGACCTGGCTCAGGTCCCTGCTGGTGGGACAGGAAGGGTAAACCCCTCTCTAGCCAGTTCAGCCAAGGCTAATCCCCAGGCTGACCATGTGCCCGACCCCCCCCCCCCCCCCCCCCCACAGCTTCCCTACAGCCAAGGGCACACTCTAGTGTCCCTCAGCTCTTGGCCTGAGCAACTGCAGGCATGTGCTGGCATGTTCTCAATCCAGGGGGAATGTCTGTACAGTTACAAATTGGTTCAACCTAGGCAGGTTAGACTAACCTGTAAAGATTGAATCAGTTCAGGCTCTGGCTTTATGAATGTCTGTCCCTACCCCAAGTGTAAGAAGATAAGCAGATAAGCACAGATCAGGCTCCGGTTTGTCCTTGCCTGGCCAATCCCCCACCCCTACTGCCCAGCCTCTCTTTCAAGGGGTAAGCACTGTAATATGCAAATCAGTTTTTGAAATTGGAGGCTACTTGATTCACAAAAGTTATAGAGAGGTGTTTGAATCCAATGAGGAGTCCTTTGAATCCAAAAAAAGTTGAGAAGCACTGCCCTAAAATTAAGACTTCCAAGATAAATAAAGGTACTTTTACCTTGTATCTTCTACCAGTTCATCAATCAGCTTTAGCCATATTTCAGCCAACTGGTTTTCAGAAATTTTAGCCTGCATTCCAGATTTTAAGGCAGCTATGTTGAATTGCTGAATGTTTTAAAAGAAAAGGATCAACACATGAACAAAAACGGTAAAAAAATCCCTAAGTTCAATAAACTTAGTTGTTTAAACTTTATTCATCTTTAATTGGCCTGCTCCTGCACAATCAAATAAAATTCATTCCGATGGACCTTCCTCCTCTTCCTCCTCCTTCTTGCAGTACAGTAAACGGGGGCGGTAAGGGTGGGCAAATGGCAGGGGTGTGGCTAACAAAATTATGGACTTTGCATCATTACGGAGAGAAAAATATGGGTGATAGAATTTGATTCTATAATTTGCTCTTAAAACTGACCTTTCCAACCCATCCTTAAATCTTAACTTCACAAAAATAATTCAGGCAAGTGTAAAAGAGAGGTCATAACTGACATACCAGTCTTTCAACCATGGTTAAGATTACGTTCACTGGGTCCAATCTGTGGCTTATGTCCTCCCAAAAGGAAGTCAGTGTCACTACTGGCTTTGTGTTTGCCCAAGGCAAATAATAATAATAGTTACCTGTGAATAAAAGATTCACATGTCAGAACCATAGTTAAGTGTTTGAAAAATACTTAATTAGGACTGGATACTACCATCCCTATTCACAGAGCAGCATTCAATTCTGTGAACAGTTCCACAGATTTCAGCTGACCTATTCAGCGGCATATGCAGAATATTGTCCTAGTTTATCCAAAGGATTTAGTAATTTTCAAGTCAAGTAGTAAGTATTTGACTTGAACTATTTAGAAAGACAATAGAGCTTTATAAATAATCCAATAGCATTTGTACTAAACTGTCTCTAGTAACTTGGATATCTGAATAACTTTTTGTTTTTATCTTCTTAATAAAAAGTTTAATATCATTTGATGAAGGTTAAATTGACTGCTCTGTCTAGTAGTTAAGCATGAAAATGGCTTAAAGTTTGAAAAACTTTAAATAAAATAAAAAAATCAAGATCTATTTGTCACTATTCCATTTACTCTACCTGCTTCTAAAATGTCAAACCTCTTGTCTGAGCAACAAATTATGAAGTAGGCAGAAAAAGTTTCAAAGGACATTTTCTGCTTTCATTTCTAGTTTTTCTGTATTTTACAATTTTTTCACTGAAATCTTTTTTGGAGTGCACCAATGGCCTGATCCAGGTTACACTAAGGTCATATGTAACTAGCCACAACATAGCCAAAGCTACCAAGAGCAAATATCAATTAATGTTTTCAGTACTATTTCAACAAACGAATTACAAAATAAACATATCCCCTCCCCTCAACCCACCAAAGAATTCTATATCTTTAGAGCCATATTGTGGTAGTGTGCTTACCATCAAATACTGCACGACTGTACTGAGTTGTGGATGCTAAAGGCTTACATGTGGTATCAAACTTGTTGCCATAATTACCGATGCTAACTTCAAACTGGATAGGCTCACCAGTATCTTGCAGCATGGTAGCAGAATGAAATACAGCAGCCAGACTGTACTTTCGTCTACGCTGATATTTCTAAGGCATAACAAGAAGATTTTTGTTTAGTTAATTATATGTACATAGTATATGTACATAGTAATAGAGACTTTACTTAGTAAAGACTTTACATAGACTGTACATAGTAAGAGAGACTTAGAAAAAAACTGCAGTATCTAAATGCAAACATCATATACCTTAATGCATGTATAAATTTCTCTAAAACTCATAAACACAGATTACATATATTACACACACAAAGAAATACAGAAGAATACAAAAACAGTACTACATAACAAAATATGCAGAATTTCAAAAATTCCTCAAGTTAAAATGTCTAGACTGCAGACATGTGACAAGTAATTTTTGCAGCCATAAAGTCTATAATATTTTCCCCAAAAGTCTTAGTAACTTGAATAAATCAGGATAAATAATTTCCCTGATTAAAGGATTCAATTATTGCAATTTTTGTAAATCTTGCAGTTCTCTAAAATAACCTTCCCCCTCCCCCAATATCGCACCTCTTTATATTGCCAAATGAACTATAAATTACCTGAACAACCAGTATGTCATCACTGGGTAACGCCTCTATTTTTTTATTAACAGGGTTGCTTTCAAGTACTGTAGATAATTCAACTAGGATTCTGCCTCTGTAAGCCACTCCTTCCCCCTGAAAGAGAATTACACATTCACTACAGTTTCATATGTAACTGTTAAAGAAGCAAGATTCTTCTTTGTCCTACAAACATGGTGGTAAAAGCTTGCTTCTGCTGAAATCATCTTAAACTTCCCATTGATTTCAGGGGGATCAGAATTTCACCTGGTATAAGGTAAAATAATTTAGATTCAAACATTTTAATTATGTGCTTCAATAATAATTAGAAACAAAGAGCAATATATTGGGAAATAAGAAAAATCAGAAATGCAGTGTTGCTATCTGTTTTAGCATGTATGCTGGACAGTGCCAACAATATTGCTGTCATTAAACAAATCTTACATAATAAGAACCTATAATACAGACTGAATTTGAAGATTACCATAGGAAACTACTTTCTCTTAGGCTGAAAAAATAGCTGACACCGAGATACAAATGTTACAAGCACCAATCAAGAACTATTATCTCTAGAGACTGCATTTTCAGGAGAAATTCCTATAAACTATATCTTTCAGCCTCTCCACATTTCATTTCTCCTTCTAAAGTTGTATCTTAATCTTAAATGAGTCACCTAACCAGTTGCCTTCTTCTAACCTTTTCTATATCAGCATCTGTCTTGGACAAATGCAGAGCTTTAGCAATTGTATTGACAGCTCTTTAGGGCAGGAACTTGTGGAGGAAGATATTTTGAGATCCATAAGGAAATCTCACAGACCTTGGAGCATACAGAATAGTTGGAGAACCTGCAAGAAACCCACACACTGCCAAGGACCTCTCACCTAGCATTGTTCCCTGAAATCTTGTCCTGCCATTGCTAACAATTGCCCCTGGCCCACCACCTTCCTTGAGTGTATTTGATGGTAGGTAGCAGTGTTCTGTCTTAACAAGAACATACCATCAGTTTGACAAGGGATGCCACCACACAAATACACTTCCAAAATCCCAGGTGTGCATAAATTCTGTTTGTGAGTTGTATGGTTAGGAGGCAGGATGACAAAGTGAAATCATATTGTCTCAACCCTCTCTTTCTTGAAAACTTAGGAACATAGTTTCTACTTTTTTACATCCCTTCTCTGGGATATTTATTAGTTCATGATTAATTCTTCAAAGCAAACTTCCTGGAGATGGGGGTCACTGAATGGGCAGTGGTCTCAGCCATCCAAATCTGGAGAGGCACCAAAATCTATGGGAAAGTTTCAAGGATCTTGGGGCATTTGAGGGAGGATGGGGACGTTTTCATGGGGGCTCTATGCATCCCCTCCAAAAACAACTCTCTTCTCTTCTTTGCCTTGATACCAGTGCTCCCACTGGAAGACTGGGAGCTAATCACTGCCTCGGCCACTGCTCCGTGTCTCTTTATGTGGATGTTCCAATACGTAAAGGGTCACAACTTAAAATAACAGTGGTAGGTTCTCTTATTACTGCAACACTGTAGATGTGGAAGGGGCTCAGCTATTGAGAATGGACATATAGATATCAGTGATAAGGCTGTTACAGGACAGGGAGAAGAGGTTCCTTATAATACCATGAATTTGTTGCTATGAAGGGGGAGTCCAAAGGCCTAAATCTCTATGATCTCAAATATTCTTTTAAGAGTATATATAATAATGAAGCTTCTACAAATGGAAATAACCTGCTTGCTTGATTTTATTAAGAATTGTTGGCCTAAGCATATCAGTTATTTTACAAGATACAAATATAAACTCTTTTTCTTAAGTTTAAGACAATATAATAAATAAAACAAATTCATACATGCATTCATTGGTGACAACAGATGTTTTTGACTGTCTGTGTTACAAAAGGGAAACTAACCGTTCCAGAGTTTAGTTCATCATACGGGTCCAGGAATCCTGTATATTCTCTTGGGCTTCCATACAGGTTTAGGTAACAGGGCCCAAATGTTGGTAAAAAGCCGATTTCTGTTTCACCTGTACTTACTAGTAGGCAAACATCATTATTAGAAATTAGCAAACCATCTTTCAGACATATGAGTCCCCTGAATATTAGATGCAAAGGCAGGGAAATACATGTTAAGTGTTAGTTATTAGTAAAGTAAGAACACTTTTTTTCCATGGGCTTGTCACAATTAAATAAAAAATAGTTATACCAATGGATGCCCCATCCCTGGTGTTTTACTAGGCTTAAGGTTTTTGTTAGATACTAGTTTTATGCCATACAAAACTTACAGAATAGCCTGTTCTTATTCTAGTTTAACAGTTCTGTTTAAGTGAAAGGCCAATGCAATTTTAAAACAGAGTGTAAAAATGTCAATGTAAAACATTTTAAATGCAATTGAACATTAGGCACCACTGGCACTCATTTAACCATTCAAAGGATTGTTAATCTAAACAAATATAATCAATATGCACAGTAGTGGGAAGGTTACTGTTCAGTACCACAAAATATGATTGTAGTGTGCTAACAGTTCATGTCTGTTATTAGAAAGACTAATTAATACATTCTGTAAAACTATTTATCATTAAGTAGCCTATAAACCATACATGTGTCACATAAATAATGGATCCACCATTAGGTTTGATAATAAGGAACTAAATCCTTCAAGCTCTTCACTAGAGCAGCCTTGACTACTGAGCAAGATATAGTAAGACTAGATGGTCAATGAAAGCACGTGTGAATGTCTTACTGTATCTTACTTTTAGGGGCTGGTCTTACTTGAAATTAAGAGATAGGACTTGAATCATTCTAGTTTCTGCCCTGGCTTCTGTTGTCAGAAAGTCTGTTGGGAAGAAAGTTAAGAAAATACAAAGGGACCGATATCACCGAAGGGACTGGAACTGGCCAGCACTGCCTCACAGGTGTCTTATGACTGGTTGGAGAGGATAAACAGCCAGACACTTATGGGCGGTGGGGGTTAGTTTGTCTCTGGAATGCTCTGATTTTGATGGAAAAGTCTGGGCTTCTAAGAAAACAAAGCATTTGGGTAGATAAAATTGTCAACAAGCAGCTGCAGTCCAGCTGTGTATTGGAACTTAAAATGCACCTATTTCTATTAAGGCAATTTTCAAAAAGAGCTCTAGATCATAAAGCAAAGATTAATTTGTGGATAGTTAAGTCAAGTTCACATGTGTTTATCCACCAGTTAAGCTTAAGCAAAGTTGCTAAATATTTTCAGCAGTTATTTATTTGCAAGGAGCTATGCAGCAGCATACACAATTCTGAATTTCATTGCTAGCTGAAAAATTGCAAGCCATTTGTCAGAGCACTTAATAATTGAAACGACTATGTGCTCAATGCTAAAATGCAGCCCCCCAGCATCAGCCATCCAGAAGTATTTTCAAGCCAGTTCCAGTGCCAAAACTGCTTTAAACAGTAAATCATATTTAATGAGCAATATATCATTTGCATATATTTGCAAATATTGCATATATCAACAAGCATATTTGTAAGACAACTTTCAAAATGTTTTTCAACTTAAGCTTAATTTTGTTTTGAGATAATATTATTCGGTTTGGGCACCGGAAAGCAAAATCAAACAACAGATCAAGATATAAACCTTCATATGATGAAGACCCAGCTCCCAAAGATGAAAACTCTATATTATGAAAAGAGAAGAGGTTAAATGACAAGAAATTATAGAGCTTATACAAGTATCAGAAACAGTCTCCTTTAAAACTAAATTGAACCTGAAATTATTCTGAAGTGGCCTGGAATTTGGCTTCTTCACTAAAATGTTGAGTGACTTCTCTAGTTTTATGGATTGTAGGCACAAAAAACATTTCTAAGGTCAATAGCAAGGGTGTTTACACAGCTGTGTATAGGATAGGACAGCTAGCTCAGTTATCAGAAGCTGTATAATAATGTTCAGCCTGTACTAACATACCCTGCATCTCATCAGGGCAATTAGACAGGACAACTAATTAAGCTGCTATGCTGCTAATGTTCCCTAATTTTTTTCTTTTAGAGATAAATTGTGTTGTGTAGATATGCTCCAAAATATAAGACATTATTTGGTGTCTGAATTTTAACTTCTTTGTATGGCCTCCAAGTATAAGATTTGTATTGACTTGTTTTCTGTTTTAAAATCTAAGATTTTAAAAGTACTAAAGGAAACAACCATGGTACAAATTGAGGGCCGATAGTGCTGCTCCGGTTCCATGTGCCACTGGCTGGGTGGACACTTCTGCAGGGAGCTGGCTAGGGGCTCAGGGAGTGGGGAGGTGTTGGGGAAAGCTGTAGAGTGGCCACCTGGTGGCACATGGAACCAGAGCAGCACTATTGGCCCTTAAGGGAAGGCACACACGGTGGCGCCGAGCCCAGTCGGGCTAATAGCACCACTTACAGTCCACGTGCAGCCGGCTAGAGACTCCATGTCTTTCACTCTCAGGGGGCAGGGGAGACCCGTGGCCCCAGATCTGTGCATGGGGCAGGCTGCGGGCTTGAGTTCCCACCTTGCTTCCCTCCCGTGGGACCTCTGCAGCCCCGCAGGCATGACTGGGCATTGCTGGGAACAGTGGGTCTGCACAGGGATCTCCTCACCCCCTCGCTGCCATGGCGACGAGCTTCTTGTGCCTGCTGCTGCTTTGAAGGGTGCAGCCCTATGCTGCTTCCCTCAGTGCAGTCCTGTGCAGTCCTGTGCAGCGCAGGGTGAGCAGCCACTAGGAGATCCCCACACGGCCCTGCTGTTCCCAGCCACACCAGGTCGTGGGGGGTGGGGCGGGGGAAGAAGGGCAGCAAGGAACAGTGGGCCCATGGCTGCTCACCGCTGTTCCCTACCACCCTGCTTCCCTCCTCCGTGACCCGGCACGACTGGGGACAGAGGTGCTACATGGGGATCTAGCTGCTGCTCGCCCTGCACTGCCCTGGCAATGCGCCTCCTGCACATGGGGCTGCACTGAGGGAAGCAGCGCAGGGTTGTGCCCCTCAAAGCAGAAGCAGGCATTGGGAGGGTGATAAGATCCCTGCAGGGCCCCACTGTTCCCAGTCATGCTGGGTCATGCCTGTGGGACTGTAGAGGCCGTGCAGGAGGGAAGCAGGGTGGGAGCTCAAGCCTGCAGCCTGCCCCATGCACAGATCTGGGGGCACAGGTTCCCCCTGCTCCCAGGAACACGTGCAGTGGTGGGGAGCCACTTTGCCCAAGCCCAGCAGGGAGGAGCAGGGGCAGGGGGCTGTGGACCTGGGTCCATAGCCCTGGCAGTTGGGGAACCCCTCCGGCAGGGCTGCAGAAGCAGGGGCTGTGGGTGGGGGGCGAGGGGCACCAGCAAGGCTGTGGAAGGAGAAGGGGGAGTGAGAGTCAAGAGCAGGGCTGGGGGTGTCTGTGGGGGGAATGAGGAGTGCCAGTAGGGCTGGGGGGCTGTTGTGGGGGGGATGAGGGGCAGAATCAGGGATGAGAGGAGTGGTGAGGGGCATTTAATTTTAATAACAGATTTTGGGGTTTTTATCAGAGAATTTGTGATTTTTTTATCAAGGAAAACCAGGATCTCTGCTGATAAACAACAAAAGCTCTTTGGCTAGGAACAGGCCCACCTATATGAGGAATCCTGTTATATCCGGGTGGGCAACTATTTTGGCTGGAGGGCCACTTTAGGAATTTTGGTGAGCTGTTGTGAGCTGGGGGGGGAGGAGGGAGACTGACCTGGCCCTGTGTGGCAGGGAGGAATTGATCCTATCTGGCCCAAGCCTGTCTGCCCTGCACCCACTGCTGGGGGTGCTGGCCAGAGTGAGCAGGTGGCATCATTATGGTGACCATCTGGGACCCTCATGGGCAGGACACGCGTGGCCAGGCAGACGGGATGGGGCCACAGGTGGGCAGGGAGCGGTGTCCAGGAGTGGGACAGGTGGGTAGAGACTGGGGCCAGGGTCAGGATCATGGGGCAGCGAGAGCACAGCCCCAAGGCAAAACAATCCCATCTCAAGCTGTCACTGTCCTGTAATCCCAGCCCTGGCCCTGCCCATCTGTCCTACTCCCAGATGCTGCTCCCTACCTGCCAGTAGCCTCATCCCATCCACCTGGCTGAATACGTACTGTCTATGAGGGTCCTAGGCTGGTCTTCATGGAGAGCTTGCCTGCTCATCCCCCCGCTCTTTCTAGCACCCCTGTTAGTGGGTTTGGGGCAGATGAGCCAGTGTGCCCAGGTAGTAGGGCCAGAGTTGGCAGTGGCACAGACACTAGCAGCAGCAGCCAGGAGGAGCCACCAGGAAGGGGAGTCTGGCCACCATGCACCCGAAGGCAGCAGGACCAGCCTCACATGCCACAGCTTGACCTGCCCTCTATACCTGGCCTGGGAGGAGCCAAGGGACCCACCTCAGGCCAAACAGAATCCCTTGATGGGCTGAATCTGGCCCATGGGCTATATTTTGCCCACCCATGTGCTAGATGAAGAACATGATATTACATAACATAACAAGTTATTAAGGTGTATGCAACAGATTAATAATATGTTATGTCTACAAAATAAACCAATTATTAGTACAATAAATTACTAGGTACTTATAAATAATGAGCATAAATATAACTCCACAGAAATAGTCTTAAAAAGAATGCAAGAGAAACAAGCAGGAATTTTCAATTTTCTGTTTCCCTAAATCAGTGATTTTCAGACCTGCAAGATCTTTATAAGGTTGTTGTAGAATGCTAAGAATATTAGCATGTTCTGATCTATTCTGGTCATTCCAAATTCTCTGCAGCAGAAAAAAATGTTTTATTATTTTTCCATAGTCAAGAAATGAATGAAACCTAAGGGTTGTCATTTTCTGAGGGATGTCTTCAGTCTAACGTGGCACTAAATGTTAATAGGAAGACTAATTCTCATAATATTGTAAAGAGCAAAGTTTTGTGACTACATATTCCTTGTAATAATTCAGTAAGATAATAGATCATGCAAGGCCCAATAGAAAAAATATTTTATGAGCAAGAAACCTTAGTACCACCAAATCTATTTTCTTGCAGTCGGCATGATTTCAGCTTTTCAGTTTTCCCAATAAATAGAAGACAATTAAACTAACTGAAAAACTACTACCTAGTAGTCTCCAATCATAGCATTGATTAGTTTAATTTAAAATAGCTTCATTGCAAACTAACAAGAAACATCTTTAATTTAAGGCATCTAAAGGTCCCAGCAATGAGATACAGAGCCCCTTACTAGTAGATCACTGATTTGAGCAGTGACCAGGAATCATAACCATTTGACAACCATTGGTACATATGAAATGGACTGATGGTTTCAGATCAGTTCCTAGGAGACAAGTGACTGCATCACAATTGATATCTTAAAGGTAGTCTCATCAGGATCACTGACTTGCCCTCTCTGGTCTTTACATTCTTTCTACAAACCAGAATTCAGACCCATCCACAAAGCAGTGGAAGAAGGTCACATTTGCTAAGCCATACTACTGTAGTTCTGAAATACTGAACTTCAGATTGGCTTCAGATTGACTAAATTCACTAAATATCTCCTACTGTACTAGAGATTATTGATTTACTAGAGTCTGACAAGTGTAGAGCATTCAAAATATTCAACAGTTTTCTGTACGCACCAGGAGACTGAAAAAAAACCACTTTCTTAAACGAATTAGATATTCATATTTCATTACTATCAGATTTTTTTTAAGTAAAGGTCGTATTCTGATAAGGATCCATTTATAAGTCCTGGAAACTGTTGTCTTTTAGCTGTAGAACTATGAGATTATAAGAACTTCAGGAAAGCAAACTTCCCTAATACATTACCTCTGCAGTGCTCAAAGTGTGGCCTGCAGAACAAGATCTGGAAATTCAGTGGCAGGAGAGCAGTAGCAGTGTCAATTACCATGGCTCTCGGAGCTCCACAGCAATTAACACTGCCAGCACTCCCCTATTGCTAAATTTTTGGACTCAAGGGGAGCCCTGTGGGCAGGATGACACAGCCCTGTGTGCTGGGTTGGGCCAGCATGTGGGGCTGATCTGCAGCTGGACCTGGCATGCTGAATCAAACCCAGTGCATGGCCCCAAACTTGGCTCACACCCTGGCTGTGCCCCACTCATCTGACACTTGCACTGGAAAGGTTGAGCACCACTGCACTACTCTATCCCTTCTCCTAAGCAAAAGAGGAACTTGCTGAATTGTGCAATGCTGAATGACTTACCGTCAACTTCTCCACCAGAAGCAGCAATTTTGGAGAGCCTTAAATATGTTGTTCCTACTACATCATTCTTGGTAAGACGATCCCTATATGAAATAAAAGATTGCATTTAAATGCAAGTCATCATCCTAAATAGAGGCAAGCTATATATGACTGAATGTATTTAGAGAGTATATATATATTCTTATACTGGAATCTATGACATGTTTTATTCCTAATGAAAGACCACATGATGTCTGGCCCTTACGGTATGAGGGAAGTGTATAAGGAGCCACTCCCAACATTTCAGGGCTTGAAGATAATTTCAGACCCTAAACTAGGAGCCTATTTGTAGAGACATGCTGCATCCCATACATGTGTAGTAAAATGTGGGTAGAGAGAGCTCCCAGAAATATTCTGCTCTGTTCCTGTGGGTACGGTAGCTCCATCCTTCACCAAAGACTATGCCTAAATGGGTACTGTCAGGACCACAATAAGAAAAATAATTCTCATATTGTTTTAGCATATTGATATTGGACCATATGATTTCATGTTATTTACTATTAATAGACATTATTGATTTAGAACAAGGATGCTCTATCTCTGGCCTGCAGGCCAAATGTGGCCTGCAGAGACATATTATCTGGCACATGGGGAACCCATGGGTCTAGAAAGTTGGTGGCAAGGGGAAGTAGTCATTAATATGGCCACTCTCTCCCGCTGCCAAATTCCCAAGCCCCACTCCCTGCATGCATCCTCTTCCCCCTTTGACTGGTCCACACCTTCTCCCCCCTTGCTTCTGGATTGGGGCTGGGCCATGCCCCAAAATGTGGTGCCAGGTTGGGGCTGGGCCCTGCCCCCTTCCCTCCTCCAACACCTTGTGGTGCTGGATCAAGCTCCTTTCTCTTGTGGGGCCTTGTCGGGGATGACCTGCTCCCCCCCCCACACCTGTCTGCATGGCTGGATAGTACCCACTGTGCCCATCACAGGGACCAGATTGGGACCATTGGCCAGATTCAGTCCACAGATGGACTGGGCAATGTCCACCTGGTCCACCAGGCAAAAAAGTTGGGCACCACTGGTTTAGACCAATAAGTATAGAAGGAATCATTAATAAATTACTTGAATATGTAATAGAGCTCATATATATTTTAAAATATTTATTCAAAGTTACAACTTACCAGTCAAACACTGTTAGTCTTATTTTTTCACACATTGAGGGAAACTGGGAAAGAAAGTAGAGGAAAAAGAAGGATTCATTATCTTTTTTATTTTCCTAACATGAAAGATAATTTACTTTTAGAGAAACAATAAGAAATCCAACCTTGATTGAAAGATGAACAACTTGATTCCATTCTGGATTAGCATTTTTCTCAACTATATTTGTGCAAACCTGCAAAAAATTAAATGAATTATATAGCAGCTCAAGCTCAAAAAGCAGTCAAGAAAAGCATTTACCAGGACATAATTTAGGATAAACTGTCTTCCTACTAGTCAAGTAATAGATCATCATGAGCTCACTACCATAGCTAGAGACTATGTAGGTGTTTTTACTTTACTGAGATATTAGCCCTTGGTTTATAAATATTGCTAATTTTCTCTACACATGCAACTTCAAGACAGTTGTGAAAAATCTTGTACCACTGTCAAAACTACACTTCACCCCATAAAGTACCGCTTTAAAAAAAAAAAAGCTTATCATTTCCTTGAGCTACAAATGGTGGCCCCTGCATATGACTGCAAGAGAAAAGGGAAATAGACATAAAGGCCTAAGTACAGACAGTCACAAAGCCTGAAGCTGAATTGACTCAGTCTTCCCAGATTAGTATAAAATGCACAGGTTGAACCAATAAGCAAGTGAACAGACATTCATTTTGATTCTGGAAATGCAGCCATATGCCTGCAGTGGCTCAGGCCAGAAGCTGGGGGGCGCTAGAGCGCACCTCCCTGCTGGCCTGCAGCAGACATCTTGGGCCAGGGCTAGCCCACCCACCCTGCGACTCAGACATACCTTTACTGGAAACATTAGTACAAATATGAATGCTCTTGCTATACAGTATTGTGCTGTGAGTACACTTCAGTTCCATGTCCCGTTAAGCCTTATATACATGAATGATTTGAGTTTCTATCAACAAAAATTTCCAACTGCCTTATATTTTAATAGTTCATATATACTCTTAACACTAGGCATTCATGACCATATTTACAAGTATTGAATGCATACACTGATTGTCATCACTTTTGTTGGTAAGCCACGTTAAGTTTAGTGTAAAAAATATTTTAAATGTATTGAGCCCTATGAATACACTTTTCAGGTATGTGACAGGAATACAAAGTTTCAAATATAAACTCAAATACCTTCTTTCCCGCAAAACAAACTTCCACAAATGGATCAACGAGATTTTTCTTGTCTGCTTCTCCTCCAAATATTTCCTTGACAGTCTGTGCAAAAGCATCATCCACTGTAGAGAAGTAATAAAGCAGAGATTAGTGATAACCTTTTCCTTTACTACTTTACCTCACAACTTCCTGTGCAATCCCACTGAAGTCAGTGAGCTATCATGGATATGACTGACTCCAAATCTAGCTCATTGTATTTAGTGGGAAAAATAAATATTTGCTGCTACATCTAGATAAAAGTTTTAAGATATCAGAGAAACTTCTAGAATCCTTGTCCTTAGAGCATCACAGGGGCTCTGTAATGTACTGTAGCCTGGAGTTGGAGAATCAGGAGTTTATGCAACCATTTTTAACCCTCCAGTTACTAGCTGCGTATCAGCATCTTGAAGGTGTCAGCTTGTTATTCCAGCTATCAGAAGGAGGCAGTGTAGGCAAAAGAATTGGATAAAAAAGAACATAAATAATGCATAATGTATTTCCAATTTCCACACAACACTATATGTTCCATGCACAGGTCCGGTTTCCATTCTTGAGACATGAGCCTCAAAAAGAAGTATTCATTTTGTGTCATTTGCATGTAATATAAACTTGGGGAAATTTTAATAACTTTATCAAAGATTAATCTCTTCCATCTGTTGGGTATTAAGACTTTCCTTAACAATCTTTAGGGGGAAAGTACAGTACAACTGGAAAAAACAAATCAAAATAAAGGAACAGATTAAAAAGCTAGACACCTGATTCAACTGAATTATCTTGGATCTCTACTTAAAAGATCAGGGGACACAGGTACCCTGTGCTTCATTCACAGATGGGCTATGCTCATACAAGTAAAGTAAGCTTAAAGAGCTAAGGGAAAAAAGTATGTTGTCTAGTTTGAGTAATTAATAATACATCAGAGCCATACTTGATAATCTGAGACATGACAACAGTTAAAACACATTTGACATAACAGATTTGACTGAACTGAACAATGATTTGAAATTGGTAATGTAAGCTACCACAGAATTACTGGTTCAAACTATGCAGCAAACCATGTTGCTTGTTTTATGTATGAGAAATGTTTTTAAAAACACAGATATTCCTACATCTTATCAACTGCTATGATCTGAATGTATTAAGAAGTTACAGACTCTGGGGAATGTCCTCAGCTCTGTAGATTTTAAGAAGAAAAGTGACCCATCGAAGTGCAATGCCAGCTGGTAGTAAAAGGTTACTTTCCACATCATCATTTTCATTATCTCGCTCCCTTTTTTCCACCTGTTGGAGATATATTGGATCATATTATCAACCTACTCATAAGAAAGGTATGTGATTGCTAGAAAATAAGGTATAATATTATGGTACCTATTTATACTAGCATCCATTAGTGTCACTTGTGATAATCTATCTATAGTTTCATCATAAATAACCAGATCAAGTATCAAGGACAATAAAGAGTCCTTTTTTAGATATGTGGGGAGCTGGAGGAAAAGCAAGGGCAGCATTGGACCCCTGCTAAACCAAATGGGACAACTGACAACTGACGCCCAGGAAAAAGCCAACCACTGGATGCAGGTGTCGCCGTGGATGTAGTCTTTCTGGACTTCAACATGGCCTTTGACACTGTCTCCCACCCCATCCTCATTAAAAAAACTAGGCGACTGTGGCATCGATGCCTACACAGTCAGGTGGATTGCTAATTGGCTGAACAGTCGTACTCAGAGGGTGGTGGTGGACGGGTCATATGCGACCTGGGGGGAAGTGGGCAGCGGAGTCCCCCAGGGCTCAGTCCTTGGGCCCGCACTGTTCAATTTCTTTATCAGCGATTTGGACAACCGGGTGAAAAGCAACCTTTTCAAATTTGCTGATGATACCAAAATTTGGGGTGAGGCGGGCACGCTAGTAGGGAGGGAAAGACTGCAGAAAGACCTGGATAGGTTGCAAGGGTGGGCTAACAAAAACAGGATGCGTTTCAATAC